GCGGTACGCGGGTCTCTCACTGTTGTGGCCTCTCCCGTTGCGGAGCACAGGCTCCGGACGAGCAGGCTCAGCGGCCATGGCTCACGGGCCCAGCTGCTCCGCGGCATGTGGGATCTTCCCGGACCGGGGCACGAACCCACGTCCCTTGCATCGGCAGGCGGACTCTCAACCACTGTGCCACCAGGGAAGCCCGCGCAATCTTTTTTTTAGACGCTCTGTAATTTTGGTTTATAGTTTCCCTTTGCCCTAGTACTTTCATAGAAAGTATGGATGGGACTTTTAAAAACATTTTATTAATTTCTCATTCTATTCTATTATGATTAAAGAAGATGGTATTATTTCTTTTTTCTGGAAATTATAGAAGTTTTCTCTGTGGTATATAGTAAATGTTCATTTTTCGGTGAGTGAGAATAATAGGTATATTCTCTATTATTTATTTATTAATCCTTATTATAAGGTGCAAAGTAATCTCTTCAGAAGACATATAGATTCTGTTGGAATCTATAGGTGGGAATCAAAGAATTTCATTTAAAGGTGACAAGCCAAATCATTGAGGCTGTAACATTCATAACTCGTATATCTTCACTGTGAATCGTGGCTTTTAGCATTACAGTGTCCTTCTTTGTCTTGTCTTTTTCCCGAATTCCACCTTGTCAGATATTGAAATTGTAAGCTTTGCTTTTTTTTTTTCTGCGGTACGCGGGCCTCTCACTGTTGGGGCCTCTCACTGTTGTGGCCTCTCCCGTTGTGGAGCACAGGCTCCGGACGTGCAGGCTCAGCATCCATGGCTCACGGGCCTAGCCGCTCCGTGGCATGTGGGATCTTCCCGGACCGGGGCACGAACCTGCGTCCCCTGCATCGGCAGGCGGACTCTCAACCACTGCGCCACCAGGGAGGCCCGTAAGCTTTGCTTTTTATAATTTGTATGTGCCTGGTATATTTTTGTCCACCCCTTTACTTTTTAGCCTTTCTGGATCACTTATTTTAGGTGTGTCTCTTGTAAATAATAGACGGTAAGATGTTAGTTTGTAAGCCAAGCTGAACTTTTTTTTTAAATGATGAGTTTTCATTTACTGATACGACTCATATGTTTGTCCTTATTACATTCACTCTGTATGTGATGCTAGATTTACTTTTTCCTTATTTAAGCATTGATATTTGGTTTTTCAACTTGAAATGATATTCTTTGACTTGCACATATTGCCTTTGCAACAGAGCTCTTTGTACTTTTTCCTTCTTTTTGATTTATTTAGTTACGTTACTTCTACTGTGTCAAAGCACATGCCACTTGATACTCTTCTTCCACCCTTATCCCCACTTTCACTTTGGTCTTAGATCTAAAACTATTCAATGCTCACTATGAGTCCTTTTGCTGAAATTTCCCCAATCATCTCCTAGCTGGACGAAGCTTGTTTTAGTAGAATCCTAAGGGGGTTATGAGTACAATATTTCCTGAGCTCTTTTTAAACATCCTTGTTACTTAAAGGGCAGCTTAGCTGGACACAAAACAATTGGTTCATATGTTTTCTTTGAGTTTCTTGAAAATGTTGCTCCATTGCTACTTGCTTTTTGAAAAGTTTGATGCCAACCTGATCTTTCCTGTGTAAGAGACTAGGCCTTTTGGCCTAGAGAATATTCCCCCTCACCTTCAAAGTGTAATAGTTTGCTAGGACGTGTCTCAGTTGATCATTCTGGGTCAATTTTCCAAGTAACAAGATAGGCCCTTTCAAGATACAGATTCAGGAACTTCCCTGGTGGTCCAGTGGCTAAGACTCCACGCTCCCAATGCAGGGGGCCCAAGTTCTATCCCTAGTCAGAACATGCCACAACTAACACCCAACGCAGCCAAATATATAAATAAATATATATATATTTTAAAAAGATATGGAGTCAGGTCTTTTGTTTTCAGGAATTTCTCTGGGGTTAGTTTTAAATATTAACTCTGCTCCATTGTCTTATATTTTAGCTTCAAGAGCTCCAACTTTAACTGTGTTAGTTTTTCTTTGCCTGTCTTTTTTGTCTATCATTTTCTTTCTGGGCATTTCCAGGTCTTCCTTTATATTGTTTTTGCTGTCTTAGCTTTTTTCATTCCTATCTTCTATACGCTTTATGGTACTTGCCGTCGTTCCTGTTTTCATTTGGGTACGTTGTAATGTAGTCTTCATTATCTAGGGTGATTTTACCTTTTTGTTCAAATTCTTTCCCAAGTTTGGTCAGTTCTCTTTCCATATACGCTTGTTGCTTTTTCATTTTTACTCTGAGTTTCTGAATTTCTGATCTGTGGTATTCTTTCATATCCACCGTTGTTTTTTATTTTAAAGTTCATGTTGGAGGGTTGTTAACAGTTTACCCTCTTTGTTCCTTTTTATTTGGTTTATTTCATTAGCTTGAAAAGTTATGATTCTCACTTTGTTTTCTTCCCATATTTGTATAAAGTGAGTTCCTTTTTCTATTTATGTTGACGTCCTTGTAATAATGGGCAACTCTATGGGGGCAGGGGTAAAATGGGGAATGGATTGAGTGGCTTTCTGTTTCTTGGTAGAAAAGAGACCTTTTATTGTTGGCCAATAATGTAATTTCTTTAATAAGTAATGTCTAGGTGGTGGTGGTGGGGAGAGTTGTCTGTTTTCTTCTGAATCTTTTTTTTTTTCTTTTTTGGTGGCGTCGGGTCTTAGTCGCAGCGCGTGGGATCCTTCGTTGTGGCACATGGGCTTCTCTCTAGTTGTGGTGTGCGGGCTCTAGAGCATGCAGGCTCAGTAGTTGTGGTGCAAGGGCTCTAGAGTGCACAGGCTCAGTAGTTGTGGCGCACGGGTTAGTTGCCCCGTGGCATGTGGGATCTTAGTTACCTGACCAGGGATCAAACCGGCATCCCCTGCATTGGAAGGCGGATTTTTAACCACTGGACCACCAGGGAAGTTCCTCTTCTGAATCTTTGACCTGTTGTTGATAGGCTGTTATCTTCAGCTTCTTGTTTCCCTTTTTGCCTTTATCCACCAAGCCCGCAAGGGACACCACTCCCTTTCAAGATGACTTCAGCTTTCTCACAAGTGATATCTCTGGTCCTACTCATTTTCTAAACCTCTTCCCTTGACTTCCCACTAGGGTAGTCTCTGTCTCTGCTCTGATCCACTAGGTCTCAAAGCGTTTGCAGCATTTTTCTACTCTGGGTGAAATCACAAGTAGTTTGGTTTAACTGAAGTCCCAACATAGGTGTGGGCCTCCGACAGAAGAAAATCTGGAGGATTTTGCAGGAGGCAGACTTTCTATGGAGGCTTCTGCAATAATTTGAGCAAGGAATAAAGTAAAACAGGGAGGGATGGAGAGAAAGGAACTGTTTTAAGAGTTACCAAAGGAATAACAAAAATCACTTGGTGACTGATTTGATGTGGGAAAGCAGATATCTGAGTTTTGGGTTTGGGTTCCTGAATGAATGAATGAAAGGATGGTTGGTGGTACCAATTCACTGAAACAGGAACTCTGGAGGAGGAGGTTTGGGGAAGGGCAAGGGAAGATAAGCAGAGTCTGGGGCTTCCCTCATGGCACAGTGGTTAAAAATCCGCCTGCCAATGCAGGGGACACGGGTTTGAGCCCTGGTCTGGGAAGATCCCACATGCCACAGAGCAACTAAGCCCGTGTGCCACAACTACTGAGCTTGCGCTCTAGAGCCCGTGAACCACAACTACTGAGCCCATGTGCCACAACTACTGAAGCCCGCGTGCCTAGAGCCCGTGCTCCAAAACAAGAGAAGCCACCGCAATGAGAAGCCCACTCACCACAACAAAGAGTAGCCCCCACTCTCCACAACTAGAGAAAGCTCGAGCGCGGCAACAAAGACCCGAAGCAGCCAAAAATAAATAAATTTAAATAAATAAATTTTAAAAAAAGATTAAAATGACTCAAAATTTAAAAAAAAGGATAAGCGGAGTCTGAAGTACCCCTGTGAGAATGTTGGCTGACTCCAAGGAGAGTTGTGGCTGGAAACATAGAGCTGGGTGTTACTAGTATATAAGTAGCAGTTGAAGCCCAAGGCTAGATGAAATCATCCAACAAGAGAGAATTGGAGGGAGAGAGGAATGAGAACAGAGATTTGGGGCCCAGCAATCATTAAGGAGTAGACAGAGCAGAAGTAACAGTAAAGAAGAAAGAATGAATGGTAGATCAGGAAAGTAGGAGAAAAGTTGGATAGTATGGCTATCAGAAAGAAGACAAGGAGAAAAATAATTACTCAATGGATTAAGACATATAAAGTATGTCAAATGTATCATATTGATACTAAAAATCTAGCTGCTGTTAGAGGATGCTTGGCAATCAACTCATCATCCTGAAAACTAGTGAATAAAGAGGAAAGAATCTATTTATTTTGCTTTGTCTCTCCCATTCTGCTGATTTAGGTCCCGAAAGGGGAAAAGTCACAATTTTTATTGGACATATCCCAGGCTCAGTGTTATCTTGCCTCCTGGGATAAAAGACAGGAAGAGAGATGCTTTCCTGCCCTGGGCACAGGGACACAAGCTGTGTTCAGGAGGATGTACTAAGGTGGGCTTTAAGGTGGTCCTGGGCAGGTTGGAGCACCGTAAGGAGTCAGGTGGGCAGGCAGAGCTGCTTACAACAGGGAAGAGGTTCCCTGCTGTCCAAGGCCACGTCTCCAAGTGGAATCAGTGAGGCTGGGCCTGTGGAATTCACTCCGGAGGCCCCCGGGTCTGGGTCAGGATTCTCTGCTCAAGCATGGCATACCGCTGGAGGAGGGCCTCGTAGACCTGGAGGGGTGGAAAGAGCAGTTCAGGACGGCGAAGGGAAGGTGCTCTTACATCTCTTTGCAACTTGCAATTTAAAAAATTCTACATCCCATGTATTTGCAATTTAAATTTTTTGCTGGGCAGAAAAAGGGAAGTGTCAATTCACAAAACAGGAAATGCTAGTAGTTCTCAAACCTATAGTTTAAGATCTTTAAAAAAGGCAAATTATGACAAGAAACCAGTTTTTGTTATCAAATCTACAAAATTTTAAAAAATTCTGATGAAGGTACCTGGAAATGGCTGTTTCATTGCACAGTTGGTAGAAGTTGGTGGTGCAGTCCTTTTGTAAATCAATTCAACTTTATATTTGTATTAAGGGGCTTGAAAATGCCCATGGCTTTTGACCTAGTTATTCTACTTCTGCAAAGCTCTCCTAAGGAAGTAATCCTAAGTGTAGGGTGCTAGGCCCACCAAAGGTCCTCTTAGACACCACTAAATGTTCAGACTCATAAGACTACCATGGGCCACACCTTGGCCTTAAAAAGGATACACTGGAGAATCATGCGTGTTGGCACAGTGGCTGCAGGAGACCATGAACAGTTTGCACAGGTGTCCAGGAAAGGGTATCTCTGCCTCCCTTCCTTCTTCCCTCCTTGCCCCCCAGGTTACAGCTCAGGTGCAAGGAGATGAAATCCACATCTTACAGGTGCAAGAACCACCCTGGCTTTGAAACCTCACTCCCCACAGGAGTATCCCTTGTTAACAACTCCATAGACAAGAGCCATGCCCGTGAGAAGTCACTGCACTCAGGGAGCCCTAAGTATGACTTCCCCTTAGGTATTTATGTTTTCCCATTCCAGATGCAGTTTCCTAATTCAGGGCCATTTTGACATAGCAATGTTGCCTAGTAACACTGTTGACATTCCACTTTTATTGCAGAGCTAGAACATTAACCAAAAGTCAAATTCTCATGCAGAATAGGGAAAGGTTTTGTTAACCCTTTACCCACATAGCGTTAATTATAATAATTGAAAAACTAGAAGCAACTGCTCTAAGACATGGAAAATGCTCGAGAAAATATGGTTCATTAGCCAGATAGAATATTATGCAGTCATTAAAAATAACATGTATGTTCCATGCAAATTGCATGATTAGTGTCTTAGTCCATTCTGGGTGCTATAACAAAAACACCATAGATTGAGTAGCTTATAAACAACAGAAACTTGTTTATCACAGTTTTGAAGGCTGGGAAGTCCAAGATCAAGATGCCAGTAGATTCTGTCTGGTGAGAGCCTGATTCCTAGACAGTCATCTTCTTCTTGTGTCCTCACATGGGGGAAAGGGCCAGAGATCTCTCTGGGGTCTCTTTTGTAATGACACTAATCCCATCCTGAGTGCTCCAGCCTCATGACCCAATCACATTCATAAATTCCCACCTCCTCATACCATCACTTTGGGGGTAAAGATTTCAATTCATGAATTTTTAAAATTAGTTAAAAAAAAAAAAACCCAGTGGAGGCTAACACAACATTGTAAAGCAACCATACTCCAATAAAAATTAATTAAATGAATTTTGGAGAAGCCCAAACAGTCTGTAGCAATTAGGAATTTATCTTTTTTATGTGCCATTATCTCCCATTATATCCCAAACATACAAGAGATGGTGTGTTTGGATTCCTAGAGCTTAGCATAGTGCTAGGCACACAGTAAGAACTTAATAAATGGCTGTTAAATAAATGACTATGTGCAAACCAAAAAAAAAAAAAGTATGTATGCCTTTAAGAATATAAATTCTTAGCATAGTAAAAGTCTGTAGTAAAGAAATGTTTAAAAAAATAGTAATAATATAACATGTAAAATATGTCAAACATGAAGAATATTTATGACAATGTAAACACAAATAATATAATAAATTGTATACTGTGAAAAAGAAAAGAATATAAATACTTACACTGTAATGTAGAATATTTAAAGCAGGCTATAAAATTATATATACAGTGTGCTGTGTAATAAAATAAAACCAAAACCAAAACCAAAAAACCAACAAGGGAAAAAGGACCAGAAAGAAACACAATCCCACGTACTTCCTCTTCATTCTTTTTGTTTAAAGCTGTTTTCATCTGTAGCTCTGTAAGCCTTGCACTTTAGGTCAGCGCATGTGGTCTTACACACAAGCAACACAAGGCTGGCCAAGGGACCCAGATTTCCTTGGGACTCACATATACCACCAGGAAGTCATGCCAATCCCACTTCTTTTTTTTTTTTTTTTTGGAGTATGGGGGCCTCTCAGTGCTGTGGCCTCTCCCGTTGCAGAGCACAGGCTCCGGACGCACAGGCTCAGTGGCCATGGCTCACGGGCCTAGCCGCTCCGCGGCATGTGGGATCTTCCCAGACTGGGGCATGAACCCGTGTCCCCTGCATCGGCAGGCGGACTCTCAACCACTGCGCCACCAGGGAAGCCCCCATTCCTTCTTAATTTGGTTTAATTGGCTTTAAAGTCAAGGCCTTTAGTAACTGATTATGCAACTAGGGCCTACTCTTGGTGCAGTTGGAGCAGCTCTGCCTGTGAACTCAGACGTAAGAGGGCTGTGATATCCTCTCCAAGGAGGAAATTGTAACATTCAGTAGCGCCTACAGGGAAAACACTGTTACTGTTTTGAGTTTCCACTTGAGCACACAGAGGTGCCACAGGAAGCAAACAGAGGATGTTGTCCTGCTCTCAAGGTATTTACAATCCAGTCCTCAAATAGGTCACTTATGCCAACAATCACAGACTGTCACTTCTTGCCACCTGGTGTTGAGAAGGATTCCGAGGTTACACTTGGGTTTAATGGTAAAGAGTTCCACGAGCTATTAGTGACTTTGGTCATGGGCAAGCCAGGGAGAGTGGCGGTACACACAGAGCATCTGCCGCCTGTAATGAGGCAGCTGCAGCTGTTTGTTGCCCTACAGCTTACCCTCACTACCTTCTTCCTTGCTGGCCTCCTTCTAGAGAGGATGAAAGAGCCAGACTCCACTTCAGCCTTTCTTACAACCAAGGTTGACAGTATAACCAAGTGGTAGTCTCTTGGGGGAGTTGAGGGAAACAGACCAGTATGTGTCTCCCTGAAAAGCAAGAGTGTGTGAGGAGAGACTCCTTGCCTAATACCACGCTCTGATTTCTGCCTATGAATACAGGTGAGGGGGAACATGATGTTAGGAGAAGCTGCATACATCCTGTGGTCATGTGGAGCATACCTAGTACAGCACTATCCAATATGGTAGCTGCAAGCCACGTGCGGTCCTGAGCACTTGAAATGTGACGGGCGCTATTAGGAGGAAACGCACACCAGATTTCAAATCTCAGCCAAAACAAAAAAAGAAGTAAACTATCACATTAGCAACTTTTCTTATTGATCACATGTTGAAATGACAATATTTTGGACATACTGGGTTAAATTAAATACATTAAAATTAGCCGCTTATTTATTTTTACTTCTTTTTTCAAAAATGAGACTACTAGAAAATTTAAATGGCTTATGTGGCTCTTATGATGTTCTCACTGCCCACTGCTGATTTGGAGAACTTCAGAAAACCTCACCCGTAGCCCTGACACTGTTGAACCACTGAACCAACCTGGCAACACCGTCAGACTTCCTGTTGTATAGTAAAGCCATGATAGGGACTTCCCTGGTGGTCCAATGGTTAAGACTTCGAGCTTCCACTGCAGGGGTCGCAGGTTCAATCCCTGGTTGGGGAGCTAATTAAGATCCCGCATGCTGCGAGGCGTGGCCAAAAAAATAAAAAAAATAAATAAAGCCATGATAGGCAAGGATTGTCTTTAACCCTCACAATTAGCAGGTTAAAAGTAGGCCAGACAGATGTCCCCACTTCCCAGATGAAGAAACAGAGGTTCAGAGATGAGGAGTGCCGCTCAAGGTCATGTGAAGGTCACACGGAGAGGGAGAGGCACGATAAGAATCAGAACCCAAAGGCCCTTTATCTCAAGGTAGGATCTTTCTACTTCATTGAACTCCCTCTTAAACAGAAGGGCACACAACAGAAAGTAATAGAAGCCTGGGCAGACCCATGTGTGTGGGTTATCTAGTCACCTGGATAGCATGAGCTTCTGCTTCCAAGATAAGCTGTGAGACAATTCTCCAGGGTGTTTCTATATGTCTTGTGACAGCTTTTGTTCCAGGCTATCTTTTCAAGGGTGTTTGTATAGCAAACAGCCTTGGAAGATAGGGAGAGGGAAAATTTGTTTGCTGACCAGGATGATAAAGATGTGTCCTTTGGACAGGTTTGCTCGCAGCTCCTTTATAATGCGCAGGGTCCCTCATTTGTGACACAGACACAGTGTGTGCACAGTATCCACCTGGGTCCACTCCACACCGCCCGATGGCACTTCGGGGCCAAGGAAAACTGATGCAAACGTGAAGCTTATGCTGCCTGCTGTACTGTGAGTAATAAAGTCCTCTGTCTGTGTCACCCCCTGCTCCTGGACTGCAAGAACCTTGTGCAAACAGGAAGGGTGGTGAAATGGATGCTATGGCATACCACCCGGATTGCCCTGCAGGAACAGAGAACTTATTCTCTCAGCCCTCAGCTGGCAGCCTCCTTTGTGGATTGCTTTGGCTATAGAGAGCTGCCTTACCCCATCCTGGGGTGGCCTGCAGGCAATAACTGATTGACAAGGGGTATAAAGGCCCGTCCCCCTCACCACAACTGGGTAAAACTCCAGAGTCATCCCAGCTTCAGAACTTCCTGTAGGATTGACTGAGGGCTCCACTGAGATCGCACTGCAGCTCACTTCCTGCCTCTGCCCAGCCCTGCCTCTTCCTTTTTCCTTCAACAGATGCAGATCCCAAGAGTGCCCCCTAATAAATCTCCTGTATCCTAATCAACAACTCAGGGTCTGCGTTCCAGGGAACCCAACCTGTAACAAGTGGGGTCTGCCTTCCCTCTGACTGAGTGAACACACAGTTTTCTTGGATCCAGATTTCAGATCTGAATGGTAGAAACCCAGCACGTCTTATGCTTAAGTGACAGAGTCTTTCAGTGGCCTCTGTAACCCTGTGAATTAGAAGGGCGCACCCCAAGGCATCTGAGCAAGGAAGATATGCCCAGTGAGCCATCTGATCCCTGGGGCTATAAGATCAGCCGTATCTCTGAATCTCAGAGACAACCTGTCTTCTTTTGCTCTGTTTCCTTGACAATTAAAAAAAAAGTAGATTTCCCCTTTAGTTGAGCACATCAACTATAATGTAGGTGATAAAGAAAAACTTACCTTTTGGAAAAAAGAACGTAGTTGATTTTCACGATGCAAATGCCACGAATGAACTCTGATGGTCTCTTACCTGAGACGCTCCTGGGGTTGGGGCAGCAGCTAATCTGGGATTTGGGGCTAACTTCACAACCTCTGAAAAGGGCACATCTGTTCCAGCTGCAAGGCCTACAAGGGAAAGCTCATTTCACGTCAGTGCCTGTTGCAAATGAAGGTGTTACCCGGAAATAGCATTTTATCTCTGGAGTGATAAAATGTTCTAAAACTGGATTATGGTGATGGTTGTACAACTCAGTAAAGTTAACTAAAAATCACTGAATTGTATGCTTAAGTATGGGTGATTTTTATGTTATATAAATTGGGCCTCCATAAAACCATCTTTAAAAAAAGAGAGAAAGAGAAGAAAAGTTTCAAGTGCAGGCCTCTTCTCAGCAGGGCTTTCTTTGTCTGAAGCACATGTGGGGAGGCAGCTAACCTCTGACCTCTGACAGAGGGGAGGGTCCGCCCGCCTCTCCTCCCTCACGTGGCTCCACTCTCCGAGTCGATCACTGCATTCCAGCCACCCCAACTGCTCTCAATTCCTTCTGCTCAGAGCCTTTTCACTGTGTGGAATGTTCTTCTCTCTTCTCAGAAAAGCTGCCGCTAGGAACATCCCTTCCAGTTCTCAGCACCATCCGCTTTCCTCAGGGCGCATCTCACTACTTTTGCCACAGATTTTTTTAAGGTCCCTCCCTTCTCGAGCCGGAAGCTCTCAGAGGCCAGGACTGGGTCTCCACTGGAGCCCTGGTGCCTGGCACACTGCCCGCATACAGGAGGCACTCCATAAATGCCCACCAAGCAAAAGAGTGGCAGGGCTGGAAAAGAGAGAAGGTTGCCATAGGTGGGCAGGAAACAGTAAGGGATTTCCGGGCAATTTAAGGAGCAGTATCAGACTGAAGGGAAACTCAAGACCACCGAGAGGGGAGGAGGGCCCACTGAAGATGTGAGGCCCAGTTTTCTCTCTGAAGGATGCTGGAATATCCCAGCCCAGAGCTGTGTGGATGAGGGGACACAGTGGGGTGGGGTAGCCACTACAGAGACTACTTGAAAGACTCTTGTCCCCCTCCACTCACTCACAGACTGGCTTTCATCCCTGAACCCAGCTGGAGAGAATGGATGTCCACATAAAGTGGGAACTGGTGTGCTGGGACCTAGCTCAGGTTTTAGTTCTGGAGGGCAGAGCAGGGCAGTACCCCCAGGTAATGTCTGACAACTAAATAGGCGTGGAAAAGGAAAAATAAGAAAGAAACACAGTGCAGCACAGCAGCGGAGGCCCCAAAGGGTAGTTCCTTTTCTGCTTCGGCAAAAGGAGGAGTATAAAGTAAACCCCAGACTCCTCATGGGCAACACTGAAGACTGGAAGCTTATGGAATGGTGTTTTCAAAGTTCTGAGGAAAATATTTTAGAGTCCTTTGTCCAGCCAAGGTAGCGTTCTTTGGGAGGGTGAAACCAAGTCCTTGCTGGACATGCAAGCCCTCAGAAAATTATCACCTACTGAATTTCCTCTTCATTATGTATTCTGGCTGTATATTCCAACAACACCAGCATAGAAATGAAGGAAAAAGAAACTGCAGAGAGTCAGAAAAAAAAGACAAACATACGTAAGTGCAAATAAAAGCCAACATGTTGTAAAGTTTGATTAAAAACATAACAGCCTAGAAATAAACTGCCTGTTCCCTGGTGGCCTAGTGGTTAGGACTCCATGCTTTCACTGCTGTGGCCTGGGTTCAATCCCTGGTCGGAGAACTGAGATCCCACAAGCCGTAAGAAAAAAAAAGAAAGAAAGGAAAGAAAGGAAAGAAAAGAAAAGGAAGGAAGGAAGGAAGGAAGGAAAGAAAGAAAGAAAGAAAGAAAGAAAAAGAAATTGCCCAATGATCTTGATACAGGCACAAGGTGGGGCAAGGTGGATAGGGTGGAGAGGGAGGGGAATGAAAGAGTAAGAGTTTAATTATTAAGAGAAGTCTATGGTCCCTGATTAATTCTCAATGTTGAAAGAAAACATACAAGTTTAAATAGGTGTGTTAAAAAGTTAAGGATAAATGTGTGAAGAATGCAACCGCTAGAGGGAAAGGACAACGCCCTTGAGTTACATGGGTGGCCGGAGGAGTGGCCTGAGCAGGCAGAGGACAGGGCAAGTCGACCACATGGGTGGAAGAACGCCCTCGTGGGCCTGTGCTGCTCCCGCAGTTTCAGGGAGGCCTCCATCAGAGCCTTGGTTCCCCACTGCCCCCAAGGAGCTGTCCAGGGTCCTGGACTGCTTGGCTCGGAAGCCTCCACCTTTGTCTCAACTTCTGCTCTTGTTGAAAAGATGGCTCTGGACTTTATCTACCCCTTCCTGCCCACCAGCTGTCCAGACCCATGCCCAAGTGCCCTCAACCAATGTCCCTGGGCTGAGTCTGACTCTGACCAGGCCTCATTTAGTTAGGACCCTACCTCTCTTTCCCAGTTTAAGTAAAGCACAGAGGAACAGAGGGTTTGGGTTGGTTCCCCCCTGCTGGGAGGGGAGAAAAGTGAATCTAAAGACCCCAAGCCTCCCACGTCCCTAAAGACTGGGAACATCCCAATCTCCCCTTTCCACTGTCCTCAGCCCAGCCAGTGCCCCAACCGCTTCCAGAGGCATCTGGCGCCATCCACTGACCTACCATGGAAAGCTCGGTAAGCAGAGCCCACACAGGCTGAGTTGGCTGTGTCTATGACATACACTGGGGTGCCAAACACATCTGCCAGCACCTGGAAAGGACAGAAGTTCTTACTGTGGTGAGTCATTCCTCAGAGGGAGCATGCACACAGACATGCATTTTCTGGGCTCTCTTTTCTAATACGTCTTCTGATACCTTCCATTCCACCTCTACTGCCTTAAAGGAAGTACACTTGGCTATGCCACCCTGGTGATAATAGGGTCAGGGTGACCTGGGAGAAGTCTCTAGTGAAGGGCCACAGCTCTCTGGGTTGTCCCTGCATTGTTTAACCGTTTTATCAAAGACGAGGAGAAGATTTAGAAAGTATGCTTAGCAACAAACAATCAAGGTGGAGATGGCTAGGTCTCAGACTAATATTAACAAAGCCAAACAAACCCACACTAACAAATGCATGTCTTATAGGAATAAAGATAAAGTTTTCCATGTAGGTCCCCAAAATAAATTGCATAAATTTAGAATAGAGGATGTGTACTAAGGGGAGCTCACATGGAAAAGACTTGGGGGTCTTAGTTAACCAGAGATATTGTTGATGCCCCATCTGGATCCCCTTACTGGACCGGTGTGCACCCTCACCCAGATGCTGTTGCGTATTGGCTGCTAATGGCTCACAGCTGCCCCTCCTCAAAAGAATTGCTCTTTACTGAACAGAGGCTGCCTCTCACAGGAGGTTATTCGTATCCCTTCCCACGACAGCCAGTTGGCCCTCTTACCCCAAGGTGGAAGCAAGTCTGCGGCATAGTTCATGGACCATATCTCCCCATGGGATGGAGCTGAAGCTGACTCCAACCAAAACCACATCCTTGCCTATCCTTCTTCCCCTGCCCTACCTGGATCCCTCACTCCCTTTCTCCTGGGAGCACTCTCCCAACAAATCACTCATAGAATAATTTCCATTGCAGGCTCTGCTTCTAGAGAATCTTACCTAAGACAGGTATACTATTGTACAAGTCAACAGTCGATTCAGTTACTCCAACAGCTAAGGCAGCCTCGGGCTATACCCTAAAATTCTCAGTGTCCCAATAAGACACTAACAGCTCCATGATTTGGGGCTAACAGCTTGATTGTCAGATATCTGCAGGTTGATTCTACTTTGGGTCACATATATGTCTAGCATAATGAAGGACCAGAAAGACAGTGACAAATTCTGGCAACTGTATTATAAGAGGAATGGCTGGGAAAATCAGAGATGTTTAAATTGGAAGGGGGAAACCTTGAGGAAGACAAGAACATTGGCATTAGATGTCAGAAGGTTTGCCATGAAGGACAGGCACTTTCTGTGTGACTCCAGAGGCCAGTGCTGGTATCAGAGTGGAGTTGTACAGGGCAGTGGTTTTCACTTGAGCGTAAGATAGAATCTGCTTGCCATGTGCGCTGTAAAGAGCTGGCTTCCTGGGAAAGAATGAGCTGTAAGCTCCCCATCCCTGCAGGAGCGGGAACAGAGGCAGTGTTACTGCTGAGTGTCTGGCCCTTAGAAGTATTAGACGTGGAAGAGGCCCTAGCTCAGGGCTTGCTACCGGCACTTACCTGCAAGATGTCTCTGTTGTGAGATGCTCCTCCGGTGGCCAAAATCTTTGTCTTAGGCACTGTAAGGAAAAAGAAAACAAAAAACAAAAAATGGCTGTGACAATTCCCCCAAGACAGAAAAGGCTGCTTTCCAGAGTTCTTCTACCACAAAGAGCTAGTGTCAGGCCAATGCCTCTTGCTTATCACACAGGACTGCGTGGGAGATCTAAAGCTGGTTCTGTCCACGCATGTCCAACATGAAATTTGCTCATGAGGCTGCTTCCTCATCCACCTCTTGGGGATGCAACTGAAGAGGGTACACAGGACAGTTCTAAGGTTCTGGCAATGTTCTATTTCTTAACCAGAGTGCTCTGTGAAACGTGTTTGATTTATTAATATGTTTCACAATTAGCTGTATGAAGCATATATTCTACTGTATGCATTTTTTTTTTTTTTTTTTGCGGTACACGGGCCTCTCACTGTTGTGGCCTATCCCGTTGCGGAGCACAGGCTCCGGACGCGCAGGCTCAGCGGCCATGGCTCACGGGCCCAGCCGCTCCGTGGCATGTAGGATCTTCCCGGACTGGGGCACGAACCCACGTCCCCTGCATCGGCAGGCGGACTCTCAACCACTGCACCACCAGGGAAGTCCTGTATGCATATTTTTCACAATAAAAAATAATAAACCACAGTCTAGTAAAAGACATATAGTTCCACTTCGGGTTAAAATGGAGGTGGTCAAGAAAGAACATCCCCTGTGCTGTGACAAGGAGAGAATGCTGAATAAACAAACAAAAACATATTTTTATTTAATGCTATCAAAAAGTTGTAAATGCAGGGACTTCCCTGGCAGTCCAGTGGTTAAGACTCCGTGCTTCCACTATAGGGGGCACATGTTCGATCCCTGGTCAATTGGGGATCCCGCATGCCACGTGGCCAAAAAAAAAAAGTTGTAAATGCAAAGAAGTATAAATAAATTAAGTCCTAGAATGAGATGAGCCCTTAAGCGCTAACTTGCTGTACCTGCAGTACAAGATAGATGGCATAGTGATCCTCCAGAGGCCCATAAACTTTGCCAGGACAGAAAAACCGGCCAAGCATTAGGTGGTGTCGGTGTGGGAGGGGCGTCCCAAAGGCAGAGCTAGTCCTCCTCGCCCCGACCTCTCCCCCATGGACCGTGTAAGGGGTGATGCAGAAGCCGGGGGCAGGGCAGAAAAACAGAGCGCTCTGTAATCTCACAGAGCTTAGATCCCTATATTCTTGTGTCACAGGACTCTTTTACAATGAAGAGGTATTCATTTATTATGCAGGTATTTAAAAACAAATGTTATGAGGCTCTGCTGCCACCTCTCAGCCTCCCCCATCTTCACCCTCAGCCATTAAGAGAGTACCTGGGGGGCTTCCCTGGTGGCGCACTGGTTGAGAGTCTGCCTGCCGATGCAGGGGACACGGGTTCGTGTCCTGGTCCGGGAAGATCCCACATGCCGCGGAGCGGCTGGGCCCGTGAGCCATGGCCGCTGAGCCTGCGCGTCCGGAGCCTGTGCTCCACAGTGGGAGAGGCCACAACAGTGAGAGGCCCGCGTACCACAAAAAAAAAAAAAAAAAAAAAAAAAAAAAAAAGTAGCTGGGGACTTCGCTGGTGGTGCAGTGTTTAAGAATCCACTTGCCAATGCAGGGGACGCAGGTTCAAGCCCTGGTCCAGGAAGATCCCATATGCCGCGGAGCAACTAAGCCCGTGGGCCACAACTACTAAGCCTGCATGCTAATGCCTGTGAGCCACAACTACTGAAGCCCATGTGCCTAGAGCCCGTGCTCTGCAACAAAAGAAGCCACTGCAATAAGAAGCCCGTGCACCGCAACGAAGAGTAACCCCCGCTCGCCGCCAACCAGAGAAAGCCTGCACGCAGCAACAAAGACCCAACGCAGACAAAAATTAATTAATTAATTAATTAATTATTTTAAAAAAGAGAGAGTACCTGGGCCGGGAAAAGGGGAAGGAATGTCAGCGGGTAAGGAGACAATCCAGGACATGGGAAGATGTTCCAGTGTGATTCCATGTTGGAAAATCAAAACACGCTTCATTCACGACTGCAAGAAAAGTCAGCTGGGCATGATGTAAAGCACCATGAAGACTCTGACACACTTTTAGGTTTATATGTCCTCTTTTTTTAAAAATTTTTATTTATTTATTTATTTTTGCGGTACGTGGGCCTCTCACCGTTGTGGCCTCTCCTGTTGCGGAGCACAGGCTCTGGATGTGCAGGCTCAATGGCCATGGTTCACGGGCCTAGGCGCTCCGCAGCATGTGGGATCCTCCCGGACTGGGGCACGAACCCGTGTCCCCTGCATCGGCAGGCGGACTCTCAACCACTGCACCACCAGGGAAGCCCTATATGTCCTCTTTGTAGGTACAAAGGGAATAGGGCCCTGGCTTTATAAAAAATAAACTCATAATGGAGACTGGAAAAAAACGGTCCTAGATGGCAGGAGTGGTTGGGGTGAGGGGATGGGATTATAGGTAGTTTTCTTTCCTTTATTTTCCAAACTTGCTATTATAAGGTTTTTCTGCTCTTATAAGTCAACCTAAACAAAATGAAATATACATCGAAATATAAGCTGAAAAGGGACGATGGCTTTAGCCCCGCCCAGCTGGGTGCATATGTTTCACAGCGTCCAAACATCAAGAAAGTGATCATTCCTTAAAGAAAGCAGAGGTAACCCCGTGGTTCAGAACCCAGAGTCTGAAACCAGACTGGCTTGGTTCAGAAGCTCTGGGCAGGTGATGTAACACTCTGAGTCTTGGTCTCCTACTTTGTGAAGCAGGAGTAATACCGGTACCCACCCCAGAGACTTTGTTGTTAATAAACATAATGTGCTTAGGAACCAGGCTGGGCACACAGTATGTGCTCAATAAATGTTGGCAGCTATTATTATCGTGATCATCAGTTTTACTTCAAATGTCTTTTTATTCTTCTTAGATGTTATTAAAACGAGATTATGACAGTTCAGGAATGAAACTCTAGGGAATTCCCCGGCGGTCCAGTGGTAAGGACTCCACGCTTTCACTGACAGGACCCAGGGTTCAAACCCTGGTCGGGGAACTAAGATCCCGTGATCCCAGACTTCCCTGGTGGCACAGTGGTTAAGAATCCGCCTGCCAATGCAGGGGACACGGATTCGAACCCTGGTCCAGGAAGATCCCACATGCCGCGGAGCAACTAAGCCTGTGAGCCACAACTACTGAGCCTGCTCTCTAGAGCCCACGAGCCACAACTACTGAGCCCACGTGCCACAACTACTGAAGACCGTGCACCTAGAGCCCGTGCTCCGCAATGAGAAGCCACCGCAATGAGAAGCCTGTGCACTGCAACGAAGAATAGCCCCCGCTCACCACAACTAGAGAAAGCCCGCGCGCAGCAATGAAGACCCAACACAGCTAAAAATAAATAAATAAATTTATTTAAAAAAAAAAGATCCCACGATGCCACAAGCCATGCAGCCACTGGGAGCATGATGCCTACAGTTCGTGCAGCCCTTTTGCCCTTTTAGGTTCAAGCGCATTCATGCATGTGATCTTGTTTGAGAGGAACCCAGCAGAGCTGGCAGGACAGGTTTGATTCGGCCCTTAAGCTTGCTAAGAGGATAAGTAACCTTATGCTGTTTTGCACAAGAATCGCTTCAGAGGCACACTAGCTCCCTGGAGCCCAGGAGGGCCCCTCCGCCCTCACTGCCTCTCCCCTCACACTGGGCTGGTGGAGACAGCCCCCCAGCCGCCCAAAGTGCCCCCTCCTGACAACCGGAAAACCCTTCGTGCCAGTCATTCACGCCCACCTCAGCACCATCTCTGCCCTGCTCACCTGGGCTCACTTCTCAGGGACCTTGGAAGCCTTTGGAGACCTTGCGGGAATTTCTTTTTACACTCTGGGTGGGGGGATGGAGAGGAGTGGGACTGTTTATAAAATTCATTCTATTTAAAAAATTCTGTTGAACTAAAACATACATCCTAACAAATGTACATACATACCATAAGCTGACAGCTTGACACATTTTCACAACTAAACACACCTGTGTAACCTAAGAAACAGAGCCTCACCAGCACCCCAGAGGCCCTCCATGCTCCCCAACAGGTAACTACTAATGATCCAGACTTCCAACGACAGCAGATGGTTTTGTCTGCTTTTGAATCTGACGTCCACGGAACCTGCCACGCATACTTTTGGGTTTGGCTTCTTTTGCTCAGCGTTTTCATTTGTGAGATTCATCCATTTTGTTGCACGTGGCTAAGGGTGGTTCATTTTCATTTCTGTGTAGGATCATGTCGCCTGAACACCCCACAAGGCATCTATCTTACTATCGATGGGCACTGTGTGGTTTCCAGCATGGGGTGCTAAGCACAGGGCCACCGGCAGTGTACTCCTGCACGTCTTTAGTGAACACATGTCCACGTCTCTGTCTCGCATCCACCGGGAAGTGAAGCTGCTGGGTGGACGTTTATGCAGCTTTAGTAGATGCTGCCTAACAGGTTTTCAAAAAGGTTTACCTAGTGCTTATTTTTGAAGTATCCTTTTACTTATTTGGTTCAAAGGCATAAAACATATACTACATAGGATTGTCCATAAAAGTATCATGAGGAGGCCTTCAAGCTAAGAGGATTCAGGGGTTTTCTACCTTCTCTTGACCACGGCTGGCCCAGAGGGACAATACATCTTGGAAACCTGGACTCCCTGGTCGGCGGGTCCAACCTCCTTCAGACGCCCCCCCTGCCCCCTGCCAGACCACTGCAGCGCCATCAAAAAGGGGAACTCGCTGACCTCCTAAAGCTGGCCACACTCCATAGCTCAAGTTCTTAGAAGACCCTTCCTTCCCCATGGGCCTCCCCTGGCCCTGGTTCTGCCCTCTCCATTGCAGGTCTCTCAGTTCTGACAGTGGTTCTACATCCCCTCTCTTCCCTGTTCAAGCTGAAATGTCCAGAGCTGTGCCCCACAGGCAGATGGGGCCTGCCCAGGCTAGAAGGTGAAGGTCCAGTGATGGCCCCAGCCCAGACCTTTCCCACCTGCGTTGCCCGTGCCCTCGGGATCCAGAGCTTAGGACATTTAGTCTGCAGGTTGGAGCGTAGGGTTACAGAAAGATCTCCCAAGTCCTATAGCTCCTGGCCAAGGAGGTGAGGCTCCTGGGGACGCAGCAGAGATGCAGGAACAACCTGCCCCCTAGTCTATGCCTGTGCACAGTGCCAGTCGATCGCTTTCTCACCCCACCACCAGGAGCCAGGCTCCACGTCCCTCCTGCACGAACAGGGACCTTGTAATGGAGCCTTAACAGACAGTGTCCACTAGGCCTGGCCTGAAGCCCAGGAAGGGCCTCAAGCACCTCAGGGTAGGAGCAGAACCCTTAGCGCCCACCCCAGCACACAGCCCGCCAGCAGCTCACTTACTGACTCGATAGCCCAGGCCCTCGGCATGGATCTTCTTGGCCATGAACTGTCCTTCGATCAGTGCTCGAATCTCCACGTCCCAGGGGAATGCTGAGACCTGATTCCAGGAGAAAGTGGGCAGAGTGAAGAACTCTCATTGTCCACTCACTGTGTGTGAGTGTGTGTGTGTGTGTGTGTGTGTGTGTGTGTATGTGTGTGGTGCGTATGTATGTGGTGTATGTGTGTGTGTGTGGTGTCTTTTTAACTGTAGCCCAGATTCAGAGCTCATGACTCAGGCCTCCACTGGAGCTCACCCATAGTTGTGCTCTTGAACCACTAACTTGTTTGTCACACACTCGCACGCACACACACGTGCTCACGGCCTCACGCGTGTATCACTCTGGGGAGTCAGAGGATGGGAGAGCTCAGCTTCAGGCTGCCGAGGGTTCCAGTTCTGCCTCTGCCATTCAGCTCTATGACCTTGAATAAGTTAATGTAAATCTTATTGAGCCTCATTTTCTTTCTTTTTTTTTTTAACACCTTTATTGGACTATAATTGTTTACAGTGGTGTGTTAGTTTCTGCTTTATAACAAAGCGAATCAGCTATACATATACATATATCCCCATACCTCCTCCCTCTTGAGTCTCTCATTTTCTTTCTTAACAGAACTGAGGTAATGGGAGCACCTATGTTTCAGGGTTGTTAAAAAGCAGACAGCAGAGCCTGGTCAATGTAGCTGATGCTCATGAAGGGAGAGCTTGTGCTGAGAACCCACAACTGTGGCGCGCCCTTTGCCCTTCCAGCTAAAGCTGAATGGCACCAACTCCAGCCTCACCCTGCTCCCCAGCCCCTGAGACCAGTGACGGACGCCACCGCTCCCTCCCTCAGGAGCTGCTCCAACCCAACTCACCTGCTTTCAGTTCCTAAACTTCTCCCTCTGCCAGGACTCCGCCCTAGCTTCCCATGTGGGATCTCTCTCATCCTTCAAGTCTGCACCTAAAGGCCACCTCCTCAGGGAGGCCCACCTGGTCACCCTATCCAAGGCAAGTCCCTGGCACATGCCCTGCTTTCCCCTACGTCGCTTTGTTCCTTCCCGTCTGAGCCACATCACACACCGTAATTGTGTGTGTGTTCGTTCACCTGTTTACATCCTCCTAGACACTGGGCTCCGTGGAGCAGGGACCCTGTTTGTCTTGTTTGCACCAATCATACATATCTGTTGATTGAAGAAACGAACAAAGAAAACTCCCTTCTTGATAAACCCAGACAGATTTACACAAAAGAGAACAGGCGTGTCTTCTTTCTACGAGCAACAGAAACCAAACTGACCCCCACCAGAAGACTGAGATGAACTCCCTATACTTTAGACAAAGCTTTCCATCTACAATACAATACGTAATACCATCATCGGCATATAATCCAACACCAACTCTGTTACACTTATTAGACAGAGTGACTTACTGAAATTCCCCAGACACCTTTTAGGGTCAGAAAAGTCTCTCAGGTCCAATCCAAAATGTGGTGATGACTCTGGTAACCATCTCACAGAAAAGTCAATTCCAAGCAGCAAGTATCAACCAAATCCCTCCTGGGAAAGGTTGCGTGGAGGAGGGCAAATAAAATAGTGGCTTTAGGGCCAGAAAGGACTGGGTTTGACCACCTCCACCACCTAGGCCCTGGTGCCTTGGGTGAGATATTCAGTTTCTCCATCTGTAAAGGGGATGAAAATACCTAATTCACAGAGTTGCTCTGAGAGGTAAATGAGGAAGATAAAGAAACCCACATACATAGTGCCTGGAACTAAACTGTGCTCAATAAACGTCAGCAAATGTTAGTGTCTCCTGTGCCAGAGGCTCTTTCAATCAGGAGGAAATTCATCATCTGGAGATGGGAGGTGTAGGATAAGGCTCGCCAAGGAAACAGGCTCCAAAATGCTTAATGACAATCAGTGGGAGCACACGTTAGCTCAGGGAGAACACTTAGGTGTTCCACACTCCTCTTTGTGAGAAAGTACAGCGTCTGTCTTATATCTTGCTGATGCCCCAGCATTTAGAGTGCACCCTAGCACATCAAAAGTATTGCTTTATTATGACAAACCCACAGTCAACATAATACTCAACAGTGAAAAGGTGAAAGCCTTCCCACTAAATTCAGGAACAAGATAAGGATGCCCACTCTCACTACTTCTATTCAACATAGTATTGGAAGTCCTAGCCACAGCAATCAGACAAGAAAAAGAAATAAAACTGGAGGGAAGAGGTAAAACTGTCACTATTTGCAGATGACATGATAATTTACATAGAGAACCCTAAAGTCTCCACACAAAAACTATTAGAACTATGGGCTTCCCTGGTGGCGCAGTGGTTGAGAGTCTGCCTGCCGATGCAGGGGACACCGGTTCATGCCCCGGTCTGGGAAGATCCCACATGCCACGGAGTGGCTGGGCCCGTGAGCCATGGCTGCCGGGCCTGCGTGTCCGGAGCCTGTGCTCCACAACGGAAGAGGCCACAACAGTGAGAGGCCCGCATACCGCAAAAACAACAACAACAAAAAAAAACTATTAGAACTAATAAATGAATTCAGCATGGTAGCAGGATACAATTTTGTTTGTTTTTGGGGGGTTTCTTTCGGCAGCATGCAGGATCTTCATTGCTGCGTGCAGGATCTTTGGTTGCGGCATGTGGAATCTAGCTCCCTGACCAGGGATCAAACCTGGGCCCCCTGCATTGGGAGCGAGGAGTCTTAGCCACTGGACCACCAGGGAAGTCCCAGGATACAAGATTAATACATAGAAATCTGCTACACTAATAATGAAATATCAGAAAGAGAAAGTAAACAAACAATCCCATTTAAAATGGCATAAAAAATAGAACCTAGGAATAAATTTAACCAAGGAGCTTAAAGACCTATATGCTGAGAACTATAAAACTAAAGGAAACCGAAGATGACTCAAAGAAATGGAAAGATATCCCATGCTTTTGGATTGGAAGAATTAATATTGTTGAAATGGCCATACTACCCAAAGCAATCTACAGATTTAATGCAATCCCTATCAAAATACCCATGACATCTTTTCACAAAACTAGAACAGTCTTAGAATTTATATGGAACCACAAAACACCCAAAATTGCCAAAGCAATTTTGAGGAAAAAGAACAAGGGTGGAAGCATAACCCTTCCGGACTTCAGACTATACTACAAAGCTACAGTAAAAGAGCATGGTATTGGCACAAAAACAGACATATAGATCAATGGAACAGAATAGCGAGCCCAGAAATAAACCCACTCACCTACAGTAAATTAATCCATAACAAATGAGGCAAGAATATACAATGGAGAAAAGATAGTCTCTTCAACAAGTGGTGTTGGGAAAGCTAGACAGCCATATGTAAATCAGTGAAGTTAGAACACTGCCTCACACCATACACAAAAATAAACTCAAAATGGCTTGCAGACCTAAATATAAGACATGACACCATAAAACTCCTAGAAGAGAACATAGGCAAAATATTCTCTGACATAAATCATACCAATGTTTTCTCAGCTCAGTCTCCCAAAGCAAAAGAAATAAAAGCAAAAATAAACAAAGGGGATCTAATCAAAGTTAAAAGCTTTTGCACAGCACAGAAAACCATCAACAAGATGAAAAGACAACCTGTGGACTGGGAGAAAATATTTACAGATGATGAGACTGACAAGAGGTTAATCTCCAAAATATACAAACAGCTCATGCAACTCAATACTGAAAAAACACCCCATCAAAAAATGTGTAGAAGAGCGAAATAGGCATTTTTCCAAAGAACACATACAAATGGCCAACAGACGCATGAAAAGATGCTCAGCATCACTAATTATCACAGGAGTCAGAATGGCCATCATCAAAAAGTCAACAAATAATAAATGCTAGAGAGGGTGTGGAGAAAAGGGAGTCCTCCTACTGTTGCTGGGAATGTAAATTGGTGCAGCCACTGTGAAGAACAGTATGGAGGGTCCTTAGAGCTACCATATGATCCAGCAATCCCACTCCTGGGCATATATCAGGGAAAACTCTAATTGGAAAAAATACGTGAAGCCCCAACGTTCACAGCAGCATTAGTTACAATAGCCAAGACATGGAAACAACCCAAGTGCCCATCAGCAGATGACTGGCTTAAGAAGATATTGTATATATACAACAGAATACATATTTTTAAAAATATCTTTTGGCCACGCCACACGGCATATGGGATCTTATTCCCCAACCAAGGATCGAACCCATGCACAACTGCATTGGAAACCGAGAGTCTTAACCACTGGACCCAGGTAGGTCCCTATACAACGGAGTATTAGCCATAAAAAAGAATGAAATGTTGCCATTTGCAGCAACATGGACGGACCTAGAGAGTGGTATACTTAGTGAAGTAAGTCAGAGAAAGATAAATATCATATGATATCATTTATATGAGGAATCTAAAAATACAAATGAATCTATATACAAAACAGAAACAGACTTGCAGACATAGAAAACAAACTAATGGTTACTGGTGGGGGAGGGTGGTGGCAAATTAGGAGTATGGGATTAGATACAAACTACTTACTATACATAAAATAGATAAGCAACAAGGATTTACAGTGCAGCACAGGGAATTATATTCAATATCTTGTAATAATTTATGATGGAATATAATCTGAAAAAAAACTGAATCATTTTGCTGTACATCTGAAGCTAACACAATATTGTAAATTCACAATATTTCAATTTAAAGAAAAAATTTTTAAATACTTGTTTTATCAATGGCTGAGTAAATGAATGAGGTCCCTAAAACTAGCATAATTTGATAGGCATTTGTTAAATAGTCAAAAATGGAGCCACTGTAGCTCCAATACTAATAACACACGTACCTCATGGTTTTCTGCACTAAACCTATGACGCCCAATAATTTCAGGGGTGATCTCCATTACATCAAAATAAAAACCTGAAACAAGACCAGGAAGAGATTAGTTGTCAGTGGTCAAAAACAAAAGATCAGCTTCTCAATAGCCTTAGAAAAAAGCAGGGTGAAATGACCCTATATCCCTGTTCCCCGGGACCCCCTATCCCCTGGAGACCTGTGAATATTCTCAGGTCCTTCTCTCCAGCAGGACGGAGGGCAAATGGAAAGGCCTAGGCTAGCTTTTCGTGGAGACAGCTCTTCCAGCTCTCATGTGGCCGCCCAGGCCAGGAGACAGCTAGCTGTCCAACTAACCCTAAAATACCAGCATGGGTTTGACCAAGGGAGGCACATCCCCTCCCTGCTCAAAAGGCCTGCCCCAATGCTGGGCACTTTTCCCAACAAGACCTCGTGTCTGGGGCAGAAAGCTGCATGTGGGCATGCACCAGGGCAGAGTAGGCACTGTGGCTGCCATCTCTGATGCTGGCACCAGGGGCTTCGAGGGGCACAGAAGATGCAGCTCTGGCCTGATCTGCCACTCCCCCATCTCACTCAGATCATGGGGTCTCACGCTAGTTTTAAGGCCCGTGGAGCATAAGTGCAGACAGTCAGGGCTCCCCTTGGCTTCTCCCTGGCCCTGCCCCTCCCCGTAGCAGCTGCTGCCCCTTCACAGACCCCGGCATCCCCAAACAGCCTACCCAGGTTTCCGCAGTTCCCAATCTCTGTGGACTGCAGCGCCTTAGAGAACTCGCTCCAGGAACTGGAAGCCAACTCATCGCGGATCTTCTCTCTCATGAGGGAGCCATTTTTAAAGCTGCAGAAGTGCACACAACCCTGAGGGAGGGACCTGGTGCTTGCTGACTGGACCCACGGGCTTTGGTGAAGAGTCCCAGGTAGAGGGGCTGCAGGTCAGGCTGGACCACAACCCCAGCCAGTGCACAGCAGGGATCTGAGGTTCCTCCTCAGGTATCAGACCCAGCGCATGTTCCTGGGAGTCACCAGGAAATGCACTTGTCGTGGGCTCTGTTTACAGGGGAGGTTGCCACAAAGGAGCCCCAGGGAGAGACACAGCTGTGGTTTCAGCACGTTGTACCACCTGGACAAGGGGCAGGGCTGGCCAGATTTACTAGACCTACATATTCTCCAGTGGTTCTTGGAATTTCAAGGCCAAAAACTCTCCCTTAGTAGCTTCCAGCAGGTCCCCAAATGCCTGTTTGGAGGGTGCAGAACAGACCCCTTCCATGAGAACAGTCAGGAAGCAGGATGTCCTTGCTACCATTGGTTGAAGGTCCACCATGTGCCAGACATAGCGTAACAACACTATGAAATAAACCTCTTATTCTCCGCATTTTATGAGCAAAGTGTGGCTCAGATATGCTACGGCATCTGCCTCAGGCCACACAGGGTACAGGTGTTGGGGATGGGATCTGTATCTGAGTTTGGGAGAGACTTCAGGTCCTGGCTGCTTCCCCACCCAGCTCTGCTCTCAGCAAGACCCAGTGAGTCCCTGGGGTCTCAGCTGCCCCCAGAGCCTGCGCAGTGGAACGACCTGGGGGGCTCCACATGGTGCCAGACCTGCCCGCGCCTCCTCCGCCCCACCCGACCTACCACAGGAGCGCCATGTAGTGCTGGGGGTCAACCGGGTTGCAGAAGATGTGGCCTTCCAGGGTGGGCGTGGGCTCCTGGAGCCAGAGAAATAGGGTGTCACTGGTGCCCAGGCTGACCTGCAGAGAGACGGGCAGAGGTGAAGCGGCTCCGTCTCGCCAGCTCCACGCGCCCTGACCCCCATCGCTTCACTCCTCAGGCTGCTGACCTCGGATTAAATGCCACCTCCTCAGAGGAACCTCTGCTGACCCTCCCACACCAAAGTCCAAAGTCAGCTCCCCAGATTCAGGCTCCCATGGATCCTGCGGGCCGATTCTCTAGAACTTACTACAACTACCTCTAACTCGTGGTTCAGGTGACAACGGGTTTCCCACTAGAAGCAGAAGGGTCTGGGTTATGTCGTCATCGCCTAGGGAGCTCACAGTCCTCTAGCCCGAGGTCTGACCCTTCTGCCACTGTGCCCACCACGACCGGCCACTGTCAAGGCAGGCAGGGGACCTGTCTGCTCAGCAAAGGCAACTGATCTTCTAAGAGAGGACCTGTGGGTAGGTCCTGGAGCCTGGGTCTCCCTATCCCCTCTCTCAGCTGCCTTTTGACCCTGGAAGCCCCTCTGATAGGCAGCAAAGATGCTGCTGAGACCCAGCACCCTCGTCCCCTGGGGCAGAAAGCTGACCCTGCCTGGGAGTGAGTGGTCACCTTACCGCAATGTCACCTTCCTCCAGCCTCATGCCTGCCAGCGACGCTGAGAACGGGAGGGGAGCCTGTGGTTAGCAGGAGGTCACATGACCGCCACAAAGCAAACCAGTCACCCCCCCCACCCCGCCAGATGGGAGTGCAGCCCCCATCTCCCACCCCAGTCCACAAGCTAAGGGAGACGCAGGAACAGGGTGAGGCAAGGGCTCAGGACGCCCCAAGGGCTACAGGGTGGAGTTTCTGTGGTCAGGGTCTCTGATTTGGACTCAGAAACCTCACCTAAATGGGTCCAAACTCCCCACCCACTGTTAGGCACTCCCAGGAGTGCAGAGGACCAAGGGGGCCAAGTCAAGACACCAGGATACACACGGTGGAGAAAGACAAAGGCGAGGCCGGAGTGAGAGGCTTTCCCCCACCTCAGTGGTATGGAAAGGGGCAAGGTAATGTTGACTGTCCCCTTTATGTGAGGCCCATGACCGTGATGTTTATCTGCCTTCCTCACTGATACACCCTGGAACTGAAAGAAGGTCTGCCATGTAGCAGCAGGCCTAAACGTTGAGCGAACGAATGAATGAAGGATAAATGTGGGCAGGAACAGGTGTACTCAAACACTGCTGCTGAGGTACGATCAGCAGAGTGCCAGAGCCCTGGATTCAGGAATCCTACCTCTGAGAGCTTATCCTATAGGCCGCAGGGGTCCCCAACGCCCTACCGGTCCGCACAGCAGGAGGTGAGTGGCGGGCAGGTGAGCGAGTGGAGCTTCATCTGCCGCTCCCCATCGCTCGCGTTACCGCCTGACCCATCCCCCCCCCACCCCGTCCATGGAAAAACTGTCTTCCATGAAACTGGTCCCCGGTGCCAAAAGGGTTGGGGACCACTGCTATAGGGACAAGGGACAAGATAATGTTTGCATGGCCTAAACGGTAGAAGCCACGCCTACCTCCATCTCCCAGCTCCATCTAAGCGACATTGGCAAAGTAAATGCCAGGACAATGGAAACCTAAACAACCACTAATGATGTTGCACAAAAATATTGCCTTGGTTGGTTAAAATAAACTGTTTATTTATGGGCATAGGAAAAGAAGGTTGGAAGGACAGCCCTCAAAATTTTGACTGTGGGGCTTCCCTGGTGGCGCAGTGGTTGAGAGTCCAACTGCCGATGCAGGGGACGCGGGTTCGTGCCCCGGTCCGGGAGGATCCCACATGCCGCGGAGAGGCTGGCCCCGTGAGCCATGGCCGCTGGGTCTGCACATCCGGAGCCTGTGCTCCGCAACGGGGGAGGCCACGGCGGTGAGAGGCCCACGTACCGCAAAAAAAAAAAAAAATTTTAACTGTGGTTATCTCTGGGTTAAGAGATTATGGATGATTTTTTTTTACATCCTTCCTTTGGTTTGTCGGTACTTAAAAATTTTTTCTGCAATGAAGAGGTATCCCTTGTGTATAAGAAAAAGCATAAGACTAATGCATTACTTAAGGCAGCAGCAAAGTGAAGGTAAGGTTTAGGCAGGGACCGGCTGAGGGCTACCTGCCTGGTATCTCCAACATTCAGCCTGAAACCGCAGTCCAAGAGGACGGTTTAGGAAGCTGCTCCTTTGTTGTTCCCTCTGCAACATGCCCAGAAGCTCATGCTTCTGTGGTTCAAAAGCAGGCCCATTATTCTCCCTGACATTCTTCCAGTTGATAGAGTAGGTGTAAGAATATACATTTTTCTAACCAGACTCAGAAACTTAAGAAACAAACTTACGGTTACCAAAGGGGAAAGGTGGGGGCAGGGGGGAGGGAAATACTGGGAGGTTGGGATTAACATATACACACTAATATATATAAAACAATCAACAAGGACCCACTGTCTAGCACAGAGAACTCTACTCAGTACTCTGTAATAACCTATATGAGAAAACCATCTGGAAAAGAATAGATATATGTATATGTATAACTAAATCACTTCGCTGGACATACAACATTGTATATCAACAATGCTCCAATATAAAAAAACAATGCATTTGTTTCTAACAAGACTTGATGAAGTTACTTTCATTTTGAAAGGCAAACAAACGTGGCCCACAAAGCATAGAATTGTCCTGAATCGGTGCTTGTGCACCATCTGTTACTTTCTGAGGGTGACTCAGCTTTTAGGGCAGAGAGGAACTGGGGCCTGGCATCCTCCAGGAGCCAGGGCACCAGAACATGCCCACCACAGGCCGGAGCTTCCTCTCAAATCAGGCACCCAGGGGACAGAGCGACAGGCTTCAAGCCTTGCTCCTGCAGGAATTTGGCCACTGTCTACCAGCCTCTATCTCACCTCACCTCAGACCAGGAACATGAGGGTCCCTTCTCCAAAACCTGCTCTGAGTCTGGGTTTGTGCCTTGACGACAGGGCTCTGTGTGAAGTTCTACAGAATCTGTGCAGGGACGGGGAGGCCCTCGTCTGGCTCCTGGGGGTTCCCTGCAGATGCCAGAGTGGAGGCCACCCCAGAAGGGAGGGGGCACAGCCAGGACCCTGATGCAACCACAGGGGTGGCGGGGACATCCTCGCTGAGCCCTCAGCTCCAAAGCAGACAGGCCTAAAGCAGACTTAGGAGCACCACGAGTGTTACTCATAGTGGTGGCAGAAACAGTAGTAACGGTGACTTAAATGTTTTTTCCCGGGCACAAAAATACACATAGATACTGCAGAAAATACGGCACATAAAATCATCACTAGGATGATGAGTGAATTTTAACAAGACCTTCAGCTCCATTTCCAGGCACACAGCTCCACGCCTAGACACGTGTGCCTCTCTCTTTTTATTTTTTGCTGTCCACATCCTCATCTGTACAACCAGTAGGAGGTAAGTACAGGGAGGCTCACGGGTGTGGAAACCAGAGGAAGGGCTGAAGTCAGACCCCGGCCTCCACCAAACCCTTCCATATGTACCTGAGACTCACGGCCTTAGAGAAGGAATGGCTGCTTAGGATGGCAACTGGGGGTAGAGCTGCCAGATAAAATATAAGACGCTCAGTCACAGTTCAAGCTCAGAGAAACAATATTTGGGACACACTTACACTGAAAAATCATTTGTTATCTGAAACTCAAACATTGCCTGGGACATACTCATCCTACCTAATCATTTGTCCTTCCTCTGAATTCAAGTTTAACTGGGTGTCCTGTATTTGTATTTACTCTATCCAGCAACCCTGATTTGGTGGCCCATTAGGAAAAGGGCTGCAGAGGTGGGGTGAGGGGCAGCAGTCTGGTGGTACTCATTGTGACCACTCGGCCTTTCTTTAGAGACCTGTCAGCCCCTCTGGGGTGGGGGGGGCCTCAGGAACCCCCAGAGGAGAAGAAAAGGAGGAAGAGGAGACAAGGGGCTTGGATGAAGTCGTACCTATAGGTCAAATGATGGGGCAGAGACTCAAAGCTGGGTCCCAGAGGAAGGGTTGGGGGAACTGAGATGTTTAGCTTGGAACAGAAAAGGCAGGTGAGCAAAATCCCACCCTTGGACGTGTTGAAACTGGAGGAGGTTTTGAACTGCTGCTAATTCTGAGGCTGAGGGTCTGGCACTCTAGCACCAGCCACCAGGGCCAGGCATGCGTGTAAATAAGCTGTATTTATTCTGTCCTTGAATTTGTCTTTTCATCACTTTTCTTCATTTTTCCTGTTTGTCTTTTCCCAAACTGATAATGTTGTAAATATTTGTTTTAAATTAGAAATTTAATAAAAATTAATGGCTGTTGCTAAAAAAAAAAAAAAAAAAAAAAAAAAAAAAAAAAAAAGACAAGAAAAGAAAAGGCAGGTGAGGGAGGGTGGGCACTGTCTTCCTCAATCGCTGATCAGGTTTCTTTCACCTGAAGGTGCAGCACTCAGTGGCTCTTGTGGGCAGAGTCAGAGCCAAGGTGGGGCAGGTACAAGGCATGAGAGTTCAGACCAGCAGGCGGGCAGGCACCAAGGGAGGGAGGGCCCGCCCCGGACAGGCTTCCCCAAGAAGCCCCAAGAAGCCGGCTGGCATTCTCCAGTGTCCCACAAGGACCAAGGCGGGCTACTGGGAGGGTGAAATCCCCTGAGGTACTCACCTGGGTTGTCCCCAGTGAAGGCCACCACCTTGCATCCTGGAGGGAACCCATAGCGCTGGACGAAGTAGGAAGAAATGGCCCCCTGAGGAGAGAAGGCAAGCACGCTCTGCTGAGGCAAACCCCACCTGCTCGACACAACTGTCCACACCTCGGGCCACAGGAAGGCCACAGGCCTGGGTGGGGCCTACAGTCGCATCACACCTGGGACGTCCCTCCTGTTCACAGAACACCAGAGGAGCCCAGCACAGGGCTGCAACCACTCATGTGAGGTCATCCCACTGCCTTGAAGCCCACTTAATTTTGAGATTCAAGGCAACTGACCAGTTCCCATTGTGGATGTAGCATTAAAAATAAAGAAATAACAGGAGGAAATCATTAAGCAAACTCATAGAAGTAGATAATGCCTTGCACACACGCTCTATCAGTCAGATTAAGAGTCACTGGACACGTTTGTGCAGAGGTCAACGTTCTAAAGAAAATAAAGCAAGGAAAGGCTTCCACCAGGAACCACAGCTCTCAGGGCCTCTCCAAGACCGCCTGTGGGATCAGAGGGCAGGGATAACTTCTGGACAGACCTACAGTCTTGAGAGGGCACGGTTAAGAAAAGAAAGCATTTTCCCCCCTTTCCCTGTCTTGGTTCCAAAAGTGTAAAATAAATGATGGGATTTCCTGGTGTCTGGGAAGAACATTTTACTCCATCCAGCCAACTTTCGGATTTACATCAGAATAAAGCCATCTCCTGGGACATAACTGTCTTGGCTTCTGTTGCCTCAGAAAACAGAGCCTGAGTCAGGGCTTGTGCAGGTGGCTTATTTGGGGAAGTAACCCCAGGAAATGAGAAGGGGACAGGGAAGAATGAAACAGGGAACGGGGGAAAGCCCACCCCAGGGTCCTCTGTGGAGCTGGTCATGGCTGTGAGCTGCGTCTGAGGAGCTGCATGAAATGCATGGGGGGGGACTATCCACCTGGGGGTAGAACAGGGAGCAGCTCTCCGTAGCTCCCGACCAGTGAAGGGCACACGTGGGGTGCTAACTCCCTGAACCTCCAGGCTGGCAGAGCACAACTGTGGAGTCCCAGAAGGCTCTGGGCAGAAGTGAGGCAAATGAGATGCAGCTCAGGCAGGGTTCTGCTAGGCGACACCTGCGTGAAGCCACAACGGCTGGCAAAAAAGTGGGCTGGGAGGATGCAAGGTGGGAAGCGTCTGCTACACTATATCTCCAAACATTTTCCTGCAGAAAAGGAGAGAAAGCCATTTGGGCACCACCTTCAGAAAAAGGGATGACAGAAAACATGGATTTTGGTTGTTTCCCCCCAACACGTGGGTACCTATGTTACAAATGAAAATACACTTTTCACCATCAGTTTTTTTCCATCCCTCAAGCTGCTGGTGTCTGCACGGGCTACCTCTTGGAGGCATGTGTTCGTGGCATAAGGCAAACAAAGTCGGTTGCCGTGGACAAAACGCCGCTTTCCATCTCACTTGAAACTAAAAGCTGTGTGTGGACTACCAGTCCCAGAGGCTTGGCTGTTTTCTGTTAGCGCTTCCTTTTTCTTTCAGCTGTGCATCAGCCTGCCTGGGTCCTGAACTGTCTGCTTCTACGGGGCAGCACACCCTTAACTTAAGCTCTGTGCGCTGGCCTCACGGCACCCTCTGGAGGATGACGATTTGGCTTTGAGATTCTGCTCATGGTGGCAAAGGCTGTTTTCAGCAGGTCACTGCTCATCTCAGAAAGTGCTTCTGTGGTTGGGACTCCACACGTGAGGAGTGAGGCACTCGTGATAGACTGGTTCTCCTGGTGGCCCACCCCTCCCAGCTCTGTGACTCTCCCTGGGACTCAGGGGCCCTTGTCCTTCCTTCGCAGCCAACGCTCTTCACCACCCAGGGGTTCTGCTTGCTCTGGCTGTGGGGGACATGCTCCCCGCCAAAGGGCCGAGTGCAGGGCCCAACCAAGAACTTAGCCGGCCAACTAGGGGAAACCAGGGCATGGACAGCCAGTGTCTATTCCGAACGTGGGTGCCACACTGATGGTTAAAGGTTTTTTGTTTTTAATAAATTTATTTATTTATTTTGGGCTGCATTGGGTCTTTGTTGCTGCACATGGGCTTTCTCTAATTGCGGCAAGCGGGGGCTACTCTTTGTTGCAGTGCATGGGCTTCTCATTGTGGTGGCTTCTCTTGCTGCAGAGCACAGGCTCTAGGAGTGCGGGCTTCAGTAGTTGTGGCACGCAGGCTCAGTAGTTGTGGCTCACGGGCTCTAGAGCACAGGCTCAGTAGTTGTGGTGCACGGGCTTAGTTGCTCTGTGGCATGTGGGATCTCTGGGACCAGGGCTCAAACCCATGTTCCCTGCATTGGCAGTTGGATTCTTAACCACTGCACCGCCAAGGAAGTCCCTGGTTAAAGCTTTTTAATTGAATTGTTTGGTTTTTTGCTGTTAAGTTGTATGAGTTCTTTATATATGTATTGGATATTAACCCTTTATCAGATATATAGTTTGCAAATATTTTCTCTCATTTGATGGGTTGCCTTTTCACTTTGTTGACCGTTTCCTTTGCTGCGTAGAAGCTTTTTACTTTGATGTAGTTATTGCACCTGAGTATAAGACACTGATACAGACATTTCGCTCTGAATAACATCAAATACTTATCTTGTACTAGACAAAGTCACATGTGTGTGTGCCCGTGTGTAAATGGATGGGTGTGTGTGTGTGTGTGTGTGTGTGTGTGTGTGTGTGTGTGTATACTACACAGCTTCCCCAGTAGCTGCCAGCTCTCCAGTGAGCCGCGTCACTGGGCAGGGAACCTACCACAACCGAGCATGACGGCACTGGCAGGCCGAGCTTCTCCTCTAGATGAGGTGCACAGGCACCAAGGCAAGCCTGCGACCAGACTTTATCCTGGATCCGCAACAAGTTCATTCCAGAACCTAAGGAAGGAAGGAAACAAGAAAGAGAAATCTCAAAAAGGGACCTTTTGTAAAAATGCACAAATCTGGCCGAGAGTGGATCATTCTTGCAGCAAACGTATACCTGGAGCTCTTTCCCAATGGAACGTATACAATGTGCCTGGGTAACTCTGGAACCAGAGAGCCATAGGTCAGCAGGGCCCTTAGAAACACATGCCTCCACCCCCCCCCCCCAAACATTCCTCACGGGCTTAAATCCCACAGTTAGCCTGGAAATCCATTGCTCTAAGACCTGGCTAGGGGAGGGGAGCTCCCACCAATGTCACCTAGGATGGCTCTGCGTGTCCCCTGGGGTTCAAGGCTAGAGGCAGCCCTGGCACTTATGTGGGTCAGCTCTCAGGGATTTCCCAATCACATCTAACTTTTTGAGGAAAGCTCTCAGACGCCTCTAAACTTCCTCATGCTCGTCACTAAGATCAGCTAAGTCTTCCCTAAAACGATCTACTTCTCCCAAGGTTCCCCTGAGGATGGGGAGGGAGGAGAACCCAGAGCTCAGGTGGACAGCCCTCCTCCGCTATGGGCCCAGGTGGAGGCAGGCAGGTGGGTCGGGTGCTGCTAGAGCCCCATGCCCATGTGAGATGGTCAGACTGCTGGTAAATGAAGAGGTGACTTCTGGACAGTGAGGGGAGTGGGTGGAGACCCAGCTGAGGATGAAGCTCAGGAATGTCTAGAGCAACAACGTAACCTTCCCCAGCAGCACTTAGTGGCTGGCTGGGGTGAGTGTGGAGGACACAGGTGGATACAGGCTATTCCACGGGTAGGGCTCTGCTGGTCTGAGCTCCAAGAAGCTGGGTTCCTGTGTGGGACGAAGCTTTTCTTCTCCAGATTGTGAGTGAAGCTTCGGGACCACTCCTTAGTCACCCTCCGTGCCCTGAAAACTAGAGTAGCGTCTGGTACACGACAGCACTCACACACTTCAGCTGAGCTCCCAGAGACTCGGAGCAACTCGAGGCTCTTCCGAGGCCACCCTCCCAGGCCTGGGCTCTTGCTCTGCATTCTCCTCTCTCCATGCTAGTCTCACCCAAGAGCTCCTGCAGCAACCTCCTCCCAGCTCTCCTTCTTCACTGGCATCGTCTGCATTTATTTGTTTGTTTGTTTGTTTATTTATCAGAGTATAGTTGCTTTACAATGCTGTGTTAGTTTCTACCGTTCAGCACAGTGAATCAGCCATACATATACACATATTCCCCTCTTTTTTGGATTTCCTGATCATTTAGGTCACCACAGAGCAATGAGTAGAGTTCCCTGTGCTATACAGAAGGTTCTCATTAGTTATCTGTTTTATACATAGTATCTGCATTTATTTTTGTTAGGGTTTTGATTCCAGAAGCTCACCACTCTCATGAGTTCCCCAAATGTGGACAAAAACTTCAATAAGTAACTCCTTGTGGGAGCCAGGCTCCAAGATGATCCCTACTCATCCCCTAGTGTTCACACCGTTTGAGGTCCCCTCTCCCTGTTCCCGTAGGCCTGTGTGACCAGGGACAGGGATGTACATCACTCCCAAGAGCATGTGAAAGACTCTGCAGCTTCTGCTTGGCCGCTGTCTCCTCTTACCCCTTGCTTGGGGTGAATCCAGCTCTCATATGGGGGAGGGGCTCACATGGCAAGGAACTGAGGCCTCTGGCCCACGGTCACGTGCGTGGCCTGGAAGTGGATCCTCCAGCCCCAGTCAAGCCTTTAAGTGACCGCAGTGCTGGCGGCCAGCTTGAGTGCCACCTCCTAAGAGACCCTAGGCCAGAACCATCCAGAGAAGCCACTCCCTGATTACTGACCTTCAGAAACTCTGTGAGATAATAAACATTTATGACTCTCGGCTGCTAAGCGCTGGGGCCATTTGTTACACCGCAAAAGATAATACACTCCCTTCTTGGCAACAGACGGTAGGGCTGGAAGACTGGCACCCACCCGGGTGCATGGGGCTCACACTGCCCGCACACCCGCTAAACAGACCCACACCATAGACTCCGAAGACTTACCATCACTGTAGTCAATAGGAGAGTGAGACCCAAGGAACAGAGAAGCAGCAAAACTACTGACCAAGGAAATTCTCTGCAGAAGAGAGAAACACAGTGAGATTTATGACTCACTTCCATAAACAACTGACTACTTCTGACACACACACAACAGGACAAGAGTTTTAAACTGGGGAGGGAGGTAGAACTTTTGGGCACGATGCCCCAGCAATGTGAGGGACTGAGTATCCCTCAGTCCTTCAGGGTATTTTGAGTGGCTGGAACACCAAGAAGTGACTCCTTAGGAAAGCCCCTTGCTCTGCAGTTTCTGACAAGCCATAAAACTGTCAAGTTCAAAATGGAAAAAAAAAAAAAAAAGGGAGTTCCCTGGTGGGAAGGATTCCGGGTTTTCACTGCCTGGGGTCTGGGCTCGATCCCTGGTCAGGGAACTAAGATCCCGCAAGCTGCAAGGCACTGCCAAAAATAAAAACCAACAACAAACCAACCAACTACAAAACCTTATAAAAAAGCCACGCTTAGGGAAGCAGGTTTTCACCCAGAATCCATATGCCAGGGAGTGTGGTGCCCTGATTTCCCTCCTCCATGTCTGTGGTCTTTATATCTAGTCACAGAGGAAGTGGGATGCGTGGCCACAGGATTCAGAAACAACAAACACAGTCTCAGGGGTTCAGAATGAGAAGGGAAAGCCGGCCCCTCAGAAGCCAGAGGCGCCAAACATGAAAGGGAGGAACTGATAATGGATTCTAAACGTCACCCTGAGGGTCTCTGCTTCCACGTGGGAATCGCGGGCCCTTGGACCAGGGGAGAGAATGCCATCACCTCCTGTCCCCAGTTGGGCCACCTTTGTTCCACACACAGAATTCAGAGAATTTTTATCACCCCCTCCACCCAAAACCTTCATTAACGGCTAAAGCTGCACAGTAATCTGGAACCTTGAATCATTAAATTAAAAACCGCATGTTAACGTCCAGGGTTTAAAAGGCAATTCGGTTTGACACAAGCTGATCATTTTCCAATTACTCAGAGAGGACAATCACTAGCCAGGATGTTGAGCTGCTTCTCAGGCAGCACTAGGTGCTGGCTTTCAGCAACTGTGGATCAAGGAATGAACCTGGGTTCCTGGCTCTGGCTGAAGGGCCACAGCTGGAGACATTGGTCCAGCCTTACAAATTTCCTAAGAAAACAGTGACCCCACACCAATCAAATGCAGGTAACCACCCTGCATTAACCACGGAAATTGAGCAGACAGAGCCTAAGGGCACCCAGATCTCCTACTCAGGTGGTCCCAGGAAGCCACCAGTCCCCCTGCTCCCACCCTGACCCTGACCTCCACCCTTCTGGTCAGGAGAGCCCTGGAATTCTCTTTCCCACAATTCCGTTCTTTCCCTCCTCTTTGGAAAAAGCCTGACAATGAGAATAAAAGCAAATTGAATATATATCATCTTTAATGTCTGCTAATCAATGTTTTTAGCCCATGCACATGAGATTTATTTATGCTGTTATAAAAGGAATTCAACTGTGACTTTCAATCAAAGAGGAATGTTTAGGGACTTCCCTGGCGGTCCAGTGGTTAAGACTTCGCCTTCCAATACAGGGGGTGTGGGTTCGATCCCTGGTTGGGGAGCTAAGGTCCCACATGCCTCGCAGCCAAAAAACCAGAAACAGAAGCAATATTGTAACAAATTCAAGAAAGACTTTAAAAGTGGTCCACATCAAAAAAAAAAAAATCTTAAAAAAAAAAAAAGAGAAAAAAAAAAAAAGAGGAACGTTCAACCAACCTCTGTGTGTGAGTAGGCCTCGGGGTTCTGCTGGTAAAGCTTTGCAATTTGGTTTCCTGTAAATCGCTGGAAAAAGAGTGTAAATTCTTAAAAACCCAAATCCAACAGGGAATGATCAACTTCATAAAGTAAAGTTCGTGTAGCATGCTCTGAAGATTAGTTAGCATAATGAGAGCTTAAGGCCTCAAATCTGGAAATGTTTGATGTCTGCTGAGCATCCTTAGTAATAACCTCGCTCCTCACACAGGAGGGTGTCTGCTCTGACCAAGGGCACCCATGCAGGGGACTCAGGTATTATCCCCGCCCACATTCTTCTTCCTTAAGGCAACCCAGGTGGAGTTGGTCCTATTCCCCAAACCTCTGCTCCAGGGAGTATCGAATTACCCCAGCTGGGCCAATAGCAGCCACCCTATGGGATGGGGTAGGACCATGGATGAAGCCAACAGGAAAGAGGCACTTTTATTTTTTTTACTCTCCCAGGAGCTGCACTAAGCGTCTTACAAACACTGACTCCTTTCAGCTCCCAAACTACCCAAATGTAAGTGCTATTGTTATCTCCAAGTTAAAGCGGCTGAAACTGAGGTGCCATCGTCACCCGCATACACAGCACAGCCTGGGTCACACGTCAGCTCTGACCTGGGAGGGCTGAGGCGCAACAGGAGGTCTGCCCGTGCCCGCTGAGCGGCACATGTGGCCTTGCTCAGAATGGCTCCACAGGGGTGGCACCCACACAGCCTCACGTGATCCCCACAGGCACAGGTCACCAGCCGTGTCCTCCCAGACACCCAGGGAGAAGGCACCAGAGCCAGCAACCAGACCTTCCTCCTGGCCCAGCCCGTCCCCAGCCAGTGGCGGGCGTCGCCCACCTCATAGGCACGGGACCCGGTGAGGCAGCTGAGAGCCTGGGCCCCACCCACGGTGGCCTCCAGCTGGTGGCACTGGGCTGTGGTGCTGGAGTCCATCCACACCGGGCAGTCACTGATGGAGAAACAGGCCTGGAAAGAAGGGGCAGAGGCACAGGCATGAGCTCCGCCCACTTACTCTGGGGGCCGCCCTGGCGCTGGCAGTCACGCCCATCACAGCAGCTGTGGACGCCTCTTCCCTGGATGTGACCTTGGAAGACCCATGCGCAAGCCCTTCATGTCCAAACCTCGGCCCGGCCTAGCGGGGTCTCTCCCCAGAAAGCTCAAGGTGGAAGGTTCTGGCGAGGACACTTGAGCACCACAGGCAATACCAGAGATGGGCAGTGAAGGGCCAGAGCTGCAGCAAAGGGCAGGTTGGCGGGGGCTTGTGGAGCCTGGGAGAAAAGGAGACGCCAGAGCCTACCTTCCCAGCATCACCGGGAGGCATCACGTCCCAGGAGGAGATTCCTGAGGGGGGAACTCGCAACAGAGTCCTGCTGGGCTGGAGGGGACCAGTGTGATGTGGGCTGTTAGCACCTGAGCCTCTGTCCAGACAGCAGGATGTCTGTGGCAGGCAGGCAGGGAAGACCACGCTCACAGGCCTGCTGCCCAAGCCAACTTCCCACACCCTTGACGATGCACAAAAGCCCCAGGCTTCAGGGCCCACAGGATTCGGGGCCCTTCTCCCCACTACGGAAGTTTCTCAGATTCCCACAGCACGGCCAGTTACCTGCAGCTGCTCGTGCAACAGGAGGTCCGGTGACAAGCTTGCCAGAACCTGGCTGGCCCCAGCCTTCCAGTACACGCTTCCATGTTGCTGCCGAGGGAAAACCCAAGCCCGTGTTCACGTGGCTGTGGCCACACACCTGTGTCAGCCTCCTGGAGACCCAGAAAGACCCCAGACCACACGCCAAAGAACTGGACTCCAAGCCTGCCCCGCCACTTGTAAGTCGCAGAGGTCATTACCTTTATGAGACTTGGTTTTCATTTCTATAATATGGGGAGGAACTCTGCCCTGTCCACCTCAAAACTTGTAGGAAGGGTCCAAGAAAGAACTATCGGTCTGGATTTTGGTGGCTTTGTAAAACTGTACTTAAATATATTGCTCATAATACTACCTGACATTCACTCATTCATTCACTTACCCATTATTCATTCAACAAACATTGATGGATCACCCAGATCGTGCCAGGCATGGGACAGATGACTAGGGTAGTATTGTTGCTACTCTGCAGGATACTGGAGTTGAGTCAGGGAAAAGGACACAAACGGACAAAACCCTATTAAGTGCAGTGGCAGGGCTGTGGGAACACAGAGGAGGGGAGGGGCATCTAGCCAGCTGGGGGTGCAGGTGGGTAGAAGTGGATGTGATAATTAGGGAAGGATCCCGGAGTTGAGGGTGGAGGTGCTCCACGCAGAGAGTAACCACAGCTGAGAGAGGCTGGCAGGTGCACGGAAGGGGCCTGAGGCTGGGGCGGGGGGCAGTAGGGACTGGACGGGGAGGTGACAGCCTGAGCCTTGACATCCATGCTCGGGAGGCTGGGGTTTGTCTTGGGGTGATGAGAACTCTGGATTGGCAGGGGAGTGACATGGCCAGGGCTGAATGTATGAAAGGGCTTGTGGGAGTCATGGAGAAGGTAGGTTGGAGGAAAGGAGGAGAAGCAGAGGCCCAGAGAAAAATGATGGGTACTAGGCCTGGGGCAACAGAGGCGGAGTTGGAGAAGAAGTGGCAGACTCAAGAGTCATGTACAAATCAGCAGCACGAGGGGACCCCCTGCATGTAGGGGTGGGAAAATGGAGGGGTCAGGAATGACACCTGGGTTGTGGCCCCGGTGGAGAAGGAGAACTCCCCAAGAAAGGACACCGGAGGAGGACATCGGGGGAAAGACAGTGTGCTTAGTCTGGGACATGATAAGTTTGGGGTATTCCTGGGACACCCGGCCAAGGGGGCGGAGGGGATGTCTGGGAGGGAGAGGGTGTCCAGGCCTGGGGTTCAGGTGGGAGATGTGGACAAGATCACCAGGGACTCTGTTTAGTGTAACAAGGACACAATCAATACACTCCTGTTAGGTCAGGGGAAGAAGAGGCCTCTTCAGAAGCATCAGTAAGCGCTCTAATGAGGATGTGAAGACACGCTAATCCAGCATGGAGCAAAGTGATTCGAGGGATAACACTGGACTTGAATCCTGACCCCTCCTAGCAGCTATGTGACCTTGGGCAAGTGACATCACCACTTGGTGCCTCTGTTTCCCCATGTAAATGGCAGTGACAATAAAAGCAGCTAAAGCTTAAAGTTTTCTGGCCCTGTCCTATGTATTTAACATTCACATTGACCCTACAGCACATGGATTAAGTTAGTGCATGTCAAATGCTCAGTACTGCACCTGCCATACACTAAGTGCTCCATTGTTACTAATATCTCTACTACTAAAACTACTATCATTATTAGCATGATTTCTGACTTTGCTTTTACTTCCAAGAAACAGAAAAGCAATTCTGTGCCCTCAAACAGTCATAGTACATTCATGTCAAATGCTTCCTCTTCCCCTTAGAGGACCTCTATCCAGTGCCTCCTCACCCTGTGTCCTATTTTGTATAACGCTTAATTGTAAGAACTGTCTCAAATCCTTTTGCAAGAAGGGAAGTGATATATCCACCAAGGTGAAACAGCTATACGGATTTTCACTGCAACAAAATGTGCGCTGTGGCTTTCAAGAACAAGCAACTTCCCTCGAGGGAAGCTGTCACCTCAGCACCTGCACTGCTGCCCAAGACAGATGCCCTTATGCCATAGACGGAGGCTGCAGCAAACAAACCTGGCCCGCCCCAGACAAGGCGAGGACTTGAGAGAAGTCAAAGCCCGAAGCCTTCATCTTCTCCAAGATGATATCCAAAGCCTGAGAAGAAACACAGAATCCACCGTGACTGTCCTGAACCACGGAACCAGGCTAACACACAAGCCTTGATTTGGACTGTAAGTGCCTGCCCTTCCAGCGGAGGCAGAGAAGGAACTGAGGACTCGGGATTTGGAAGCACTAGAATAAATACATCAATTAAACAAGTAGGCATCAAGCAAACAAAAAAGTGAGCTATGCTAAAAATATTTTAAATAAATGGAATCAGAAACCAGCACTCCTCAAATTTTGCTTCTCCAATTGGTGACTTCCAGGCACGCAGGAAGAGCAAAAACGAGGTGGCTCAAATTTCGGTTTCTTTTATCTGCATTTTCAACCCACCATATTAGTGATATAACTTCACTGCAATGGAGAGGCAAAGAGCAAAGCAGAGGCTCCCATCAGAACAGGGCTCCAGCCCCAGACTCCTGTGTCCGGGAGTACAGGTTGGAGGGAGGAGGTAAAGATGGTGACCATTTGTCCCAACCCCCTATTTCCCCCTCCACCATCTGGTTGGAACTGCCTTTCTGGCAAGACCCCATGTGTGGGATGGATGGTGCCACCCAGCAGAGCCTGACACTTCCCCGGGAATTAGATACGTACCCCAGGCTGTGTTTTCTTCAGGGTACAGAAGCCACTGGAGCTTTGGCCTGACCCTCCCACCCCCATCCTATGCTGGGAGGGCTCTTTCACAGTCCTGGCTGCGGCTGCCAACTTGGCCCTGCTTGCCAAACCTCAGGCAGGGAGTGGGGCAGAGCTGGGGAAGGGACTGGCAAAGCTAGAACGGGTCCAGTTCTGGGGGCCCCTCAGGAGTAGCAGTTATCCTGGTCCCAACCCCAAGCCTGGCTCTCTACTCACTTGCCACCTCCCCAAGTTATGGCCTTGGCCCATCCGAAGCCCCTGACATCCTCAGTGGGACCTCCAGACAGCGACTCTTGCCGGTTACCCCCACTGCCACTGCCCTGTGCTCCGGCTCAGCCCTCTGAAGTATTTCCCCGGCAGCCTGTGCGGCGCAAGTTCATCCTTTACCCCCAATCCTCCAGTATGAGTCAGGGTTAGGCCGATAAAAAAGAAATCATCCTTGTTACATTAACAGAAAGAAGTTAGTACAGGGAATCGGTTAAACAGGTACTGGAGGACTGAAAAAGCTTTGGCCAGACACATCCAGTGCTGCCTTCGGCTGGCCTCTAGTTTCAGGGTCTCAGGTCCCCTGCGGCCCATGAGGCAGCCCTTGGCTCCTATCATACCTGCCTGTGCTGTCCACACACCCTGGCCCTGTGGCCCCGTGGGTCACCCGGATGTGGCAACAGGCATCTTCCTTTCTCGCTGGTCCTGAGCGAGCAGGCCTGGCTGGGATGGATCTGAGCCTGACTGGGCAGGTCACAAGCCACCATTCTGAAGGCCCCTGCCCCTGGAGTTAAAGAGTCTGGCGACTGAGCTCTAAGAGAAGAGCCCAAGGGGCATGTTTGGATCTCAGGGTTCAAGGGTGGCCACAGGGCCTGAAATCAGAGTGTTTGGGAAACGTTTGCTCTGTGGCATTTTAAAGATGGTCACTGGCAGGACTTTCCAGCTGCTCTGGCTTCAGAACCTGGAAGCCCTCTGTGAGTCCTCTCAGCTCAGGAGTACTGAGGCTGAGTCTGGCCCTAGGACCATGCAGATTCCACTTCCCCAGGAGGACCTCTCAACAGAGGCTCTCATGGGCTGCCACCTTTGGGCTTCCTAGCAAATCGCCAAGTCTGCTGGTAAGATGGGCTGGGAGAGGAGAGGGACAGGAATCCCTGTACTTACCTGGACCCACATCAGGACTGGAGAAGTCACTGTCAGCCCATCCTCGTGAACATGAACTCCACCCTGAGTCCTACAAGCAGAAGAGAGAATGTGGGATAGAGCCTCAGGCGGAGGCCCAGTGATGGCAAACCCTGGATCCCTCCTACAGAAGGAGAAGCACCCTCCCACCCCCGCAGCCTTGTGTGGGAACTCTAGATTGAACAAGGAAGATGCTGGGCAAGATGGAGAGAGAAGGCATGGAAATTGCCCGGTGTGGCACCAGAGGTGGCAATTCTCGGAAAGCACCAGCAAAAACAAGCCTTCTAAGTATAAGGGGTTCACCCTGCAAGGCGGTCACTTGGAGCAGTGGGCATGAAAGGACTGGAGAAATTTGGGGTTGGATTAGAAGCCCTCCCAAATCCACTTCATAATCTTGGAGTGAGGAGGCCTTTTAAACAATGACTCAAAACCAAGAAGCAACAGAAAAAGAGACTGAGAAGTTCAATGACATAAAAAACAAAAACTCAAATATGGCAACAACAGCAATAACCCAAGCAGAAGAAAAGAAGTAATTAAAATCAGAACACGAGCCAATGAAAATGAAAAGAGAAAATCAATGAAACCTAAAGCTGATCCTTTGGAAAGATCAATAAAATTGATAAATCTCTAGCCAGGCTCATCAAGAGAAAAAAGAGAGAAGACACAAATTCCCAACATCAGAAATGATAGAAGGGTCATAACTACTGTTCCCATAGGCATCAAAGGACAATAAAGGAATATTATGAACAACTCTATGGCCACAAACCTGATAGGTTAGATGAAATGGACCAGTTCCTTGAAAGACACAAACTACCAAAACTCTAACATGGGTGGCCTGCAGTAATATAAAGTATGAAAGCAAGGGCTTCCCTGGTGGCGCAGTGGTTAAGAATCTGCCTGCCAATGCAGGGGACACGGGTTCGAGCCCTGGTCTGGGAAGATCCCACATGCTGCGGAGCAACTAAGCCCGTGTGCCACAACTACTGAGCCTGCACTCTAGAGTCCGCAAGCCACAACTACTGAGCCCACGTGCCACAACTACTGAAGCCCCCGTGCCTAGAGCCCGTGCTCCGCAATAAGAGAAGCCACCGCAATGAGAAGCCCGCACACCACAACAAAGAGTAGCCCTGGCTTGCCGCAACTAGAGAAAGTCCGTGTGCAGTAATGAAGACCTAATGCAGCCAAAAATAAATAAATTAAATAAATTAAAAATATATATATATGAAAGCAAGGTGGCTTCCAACCTCAGCTCAAAGGAGACACATCAGCTGGGGGAGAAATAGATGGCAACACAGGTGATGGGCAGTGAGAGGGAAAGGCCAGCAGAGAAGGCTTCAAGAAGGAAGTGACATCTAAAATAGACATGGAGGGAAACTTCTACCAGGACCTCTCTGAGACACCTCAAAATCAACAAATCCACAGCTGTTATGGACTGAATTGTGTCCCCCAAAATTCATAAGTTGAAGGACTTCCCTGGTGGTCCAGTGTTTAAGACTCCATGCTTCCACTGCTGGGTGCACAGGTTCGACCCCTGGTCGGGGAACTAAGATCCCACATGCCACACAGCGCGGCCAAAAAAAAAAAAGAAAGTTTCTGGAACTGAATAAAAATGAAAATACAACTTATCAACTTAAAAAAAAAAGATCAGGACATAGATAACATAACTGGGAGACACCAGGGGTGCACTCACACAGAGAGACAACCATGTGAGAGGCAGCAAGAAGGCAGCCATCTGGAAACGAAGGAGAGAGACCTCAGAGGAAAGCAAGGCTGCCAGCACCTTGAAATTGGACTTCCAGACTCCAGACCCATGAGAACATAAATGTCTGTTATTTAAATCACCCAGTCTGTGGTATTTTATACTGGAAGCCCTACCAAACTAATACAAAACCTAAACTCATGATCTTTCTTCTGGAAACCAATTCTCTTTCATAGTCTACCATCCACCCTGAATGCCAGCCAGAAGCCTCACCTTCATATCTCACATTCAATTCTGTACCAAGACCTGTCAATTTTACCACCCAGCTCTCTCTCCTCCAGTCAACATCATTTCTCATCCAGATGATCTTGAAAAACCTCCTCAGTAGTTTTCCAACCTGTATTCTGGCCACATCCCACCTGCTTTCCCACTGCACCAGGGAGATCTTTTCAAAACACAAATAAAACCATGTCATGCCTCCCCGGCCCCCCCATTCCTATGGCCCTTCAGTGGGTGACCATAGCTTTTAGGATAAAGACAAACTCTATTCCATGGCCTATATGGCCCAACCCAGCTTCCACCTCCCTCTCTGCTCCCCAGCCACTTGGCCTTCTTCAGTTCCATTAATGAGCAGTGTTCCTTGCCACAGGGCCTTTGCACATGCTGTTCCTTCTGCGTGCAAAGCTCTCTACCTTCTATCACCTGGCTAACCCCACTCATTCAGATCTTGGCTTAAGCACTACTTCCTTAGGAACATTCCCTAAACTACTCTCACAAGTCTAGGTCACATTCCTTTACAATAAGCACTTGAAGAAGTGAGTTTCTTTCCTTCAATGGCCTTCTCTGAGTTTATAAACAAACAGTCTTTCGTTTTTTTTTTTCTTTAATCAATCAGTCTTTGATTGATATCAATCCCCCCCACTCAATGGGAAGCTCTGGGAAAGCAAGGACAATGTCTCTTTTTAGTTCACCATCCCAGCGCCCAGCACAGTGCTTGGTACAAAGTAAGTCTCAACTGATACCTACTATACATATATGAAGCAATAAGTGGAATTGGAAAGGAATGCAGGAGCGTGCATTCTAGGCATAGAAGAAAGATGCTGAGAGATTTATTAAGACAACCCCTCCTGCAGTTTGAGGAAACCAGAACAGTGTGGTTTATAAATGTAAAAGGTTGAAGGAGGGGGAGTTCCCTGGTGGTCCAGCGGTTAGGACTCACGCTGTCACTTGGTGGGGGGGTGCCCAGGTTCAATCCCTGGTGGGGGAACTGCAGTCCCGCAAGCTGCACACGGCACAGCCAAAAAAAGGTTCAGGGAGGACCTCAAAACCAACCCCCAACACACACATGCACACTGGGTACATACCCAAATTCTTGAAGGTCTCTGTCAAAATGCACACTGTCCTCATAGAAGACATTCAGCTCTGCATCAACTGCAACAACTTTTACCTGGAAGGCATTAAAAAAAAAACAATGTATAGAATTTTCCTCAGCTTCTACACTGGTCCAGGGATATGAACATCACCAAGTGAAGCCCAGCCCCCTAGAAGTGGTTCAGTCTGGAGACCTCCTTGAGGCTGGGGTGCATCATTGTAACCATGGGAACAGAGGCCTCATCTGGGGACATATCCAAAGACTTAGTAAAATGGAGAAGCTGAGGCTAAGCAGAAACACCCATGTAGCTCAGGGAATTTTTGCCCTCCAAACAGCCAAAGCCAAGATGCCCTAGAGGTAGATGTCCACAGATAAGCTGGTTCCTGTGCCAGGCAAGGAGGTCTGAGAAAGTCCTAGAGGGGAAGGCATGGGAGGCAAGGTTTTGTGGTGTCTCTTGGAGGTCCACGCTTGCAGACATCTGAGAGGCAAGGTCCCTGGTCTGTTCCCACAGGCCATGGTCAAGGACCAGAGACACATGCCCCAATGGAGCAGACCTCCAAACTCAAGGATACAACTCCTTTCCTGGACAGATGGAGAAACTGAGGCCTAGCAGGACAACCTGACTTATCCAAGGTCCCACAGGACTTTGATCAGGGATTGGCCTTGCTCCCTTGACCCATCCGAGGAGGGGGATTTCACTGCAACTGTGTTGATTTCCCAAGTTAAGGAGGAGCCAGCCCCTTGGCACCCCAAGCCCAGTTTGAAGACAAATTTTGACTCTGCTTGCCTGTCTGACTGGCCCTGAGAGCAGCACAGCTGGGCACGTTGACCCGAGCACGCTGGTGCCAACCAAGGGCTGTCACAGGGTGGAACAAAGTTCAGGTGTACACTGTGCCCATTTCACTTAAAAAAAAAAAAAAGCTTCTAGCGGTGATATGGTTGCAGTTCACTAGTTCTGCCTGCGTGTCTACCCGTCTGTCTGGTCCTCTGTTTACAGTAGCTGAGCTCCTTCGGGTCCCTGTCAATCGGTGCCCATGACGGCGCGCGAGCCCTTCGGGTCCCCCCCAGCCTTCCGGGCATTTCCCCGCCACGTGCCCGTGGATCCCTCGGGAGAGTGGGGGTGGACGCCCTTTCTGGGAGTTCCGGGGTCCAGGCCGGGAGGAGGCGCCGGGTCCCCGGGAAGCCCGAGAGGGAGGGGCGCCCGCGGCGTGGCCCAGGGTTCCAGGCGCCCGGGTCCCCCGACAGCCCGCCCGGCGTCGCGGAAGAGGCGGCCCCGCCCGGCCGACCCCGGGCCCGCGCCGATACCTGCTGCGTGCTGAAGTCCCAGCCCAGGCAGCAGCGGCGACCGGCGTGCTCGGCCATGGCCGCTGAGGTTCCAGGAAGCGTGTCGCTCTGCCGGTCCTTCCCGCCGCCGGACTGCCCCCGCGCCCCAACGCTCCGATGCGCCGGGGTCCGCCCCTCGCCCCGCCCGGCCGGACTCAGGGACCCGAGGCCCCCGCGGCCTTGCGCTCTGGCGCCGCCTGCTGGTGAACAGGGAGGGGACGCACCGCGGCTCGGCCTCCGCCTGCGCTTCGCACCTGGGCGACCGACGGGTTTCCCCTGCGCAGCTCGCTCTCTCCAATCCCGCCCCGCCCCGCTTCCCATCCAAATGTGCTCCCTGCACAGGCCCGGCCCTAACGCTGCCTGCCTTCTCTCGGAGGACGCCTGGGCCAGAGGATTCAACCTTAAGCCAGCTTGTCCCTGTCTCTGGGGGCCCTGAGCCTGGGGACTTACATGGCCGTCCCTCTCGGGTACTGCAGTAGCTGTCCACTCATAGTGGTGAGTTAGGGGGCACAGGGAAATGTGCCCTGGGGTTGGAGGCATGGGCTCCAGCAGGCCCTGTCCTGACCCAGTAGATCTCAGTAGTTCCCCAGCTCTGACGTGTGCCGCATCCCACCTCTGCATTTATCCCCAGTCTGACGTGTGCCGCATCCCACCTCTGCATTTAAAGTCAGAGCTCCTGAGCCACCTCGCCCCCACTTCCCCCGGAGGGGGCTCCTTCGTCACTCCTGCGGTCAGCTGGTATTCCAGGCACGGTGAAGGGGGATGAGAACCAAAAGCAGACTCACTCCTTCTCTTCCTGGAGCTGAGGACCCCTTCTCTTCCCCTCATTCCACCTAGTGTGTCCCGCAGAAGCCTTCCCAACACCCACCCAGGTGCTCCGCCCAGGAGCCCCCAGCACAGCAGAGCCCCTGAATGCAATGGTCTTATTACCCACATCTCTCTTGCTGAACTTGAGCTGCTTGGAACCCAGATCCTCTTCTTAGCCCAAGGTCCCAAGGTCAGTGGCAGGGCTGGACCCAAAGCTAGTGAGTTCGGGTGCAGAATTTACATGTTTAACCACTAAACAAGACAATTTGCTGGGCAGCCTTGCGAGAAGGCCCGTGGCAAAATATAAAAGTCTCTTGAAGGCTGAGGCAGCTGGCTGTTTCTCAAGCTGCCTCACAGGAAGTCCTACTCTTGGTCAGGGGTGCCGTTCTCTATGGGTTGTGGCATCTCTACCCCATGCTGGTGACTGGTGACTCATCCTTTCTCATGATGTAACAGCACTTTCACTGTGGCCACAAAGAAGACTACAGGTCTGAGAGCCCATTTGCCTGTTTAAGGAGACTGTACACCCACGATCTGATCCTCTAGCAAGGAATAAAGATGGAAATCTTAATTCCAGGTTATCAACGTGTCTCATACTGTCTTCCCTGTTGACGCCCTGAAAAGGCCCAGCCAGTAGTAGAGGGGTTTCAGGGAACCCTTGGGAAATGCTGCCGTGGCCTGAGGCTGGCCTTTTGCTTATCAGCTCCAACCTTGAACCTGGCTCCCTGCACCAGGGATTTAGGAACAAAGGAGAAACTGCCCTGGAGGTGTCTCTTCTCCATGACCAGGTTGTCCACAGTGCCTAGCAAGGTTCCTTCTCATATCAGGCCCTAAGGACACCACAGCCTGAGGGCGAGGCAAAACCACAGGATCAGATTGGCGTGTAAGGAAGGTCACTCAAGATGCTGTGTGTGGAGAATGGGGGCAAAGGGGAGGAAGGAAAAATGAGTTAGAATGTGGCTGCAGGAGGCCTGAGCTAGGGCTAACACCTCAGAGGTGCTGAGGATGGAGACTAGATGGATTCCAGAGATACTTAGGAAGCTCTGGGAACATTGTGGATTGCGAGAGGGAGCAGCAAAGGTAATGCTCAGGTTCCTGGCTTAGGTGACCTGGTTGGATAACCACTGATGCATAACAAAACACCCCCAAACTTGATGACTTAGACAAGACTTTTCTTGTCTCTCAGATGTCAGCAGGTCAGCTGATCTAGGCTCGGCTCAGTTAGAGGGGCTCTGCTCCATGTGTCTCTCATCTTTCCTTTCCTGGGAGCAGCAGTGTCCTACGGGCACGCTCTTCTCTTGACAGCAGCAGGGCAGGGAATTCCCTGGCCGTCCAGTGGTTATGAAACAGGAGGGAAGGGGGCAGGGCTCGGCGTTTAAAAGCATGACATAGCCATAGGATATGACGAAAACTGGTTAGAACCAACTAGGTCCAAGATGGCAGAATATTCGACTTCCAGTGGACCTTGAGCCTCATCATATGCTCATTGTAATACATTAGCATAAGGTAAGTGACACACCCTCCAGCGCCATGACAGTTCTGGGGGCAACTGTCAAAGACCAAAAAAGTGGGCGGTGGCCCAATTCCTGGAAATCTCCACCCCTGCCCCAAAATAGTTGGAATAATCCTCCCACTCATTAGCCTATGAAATTACCCAGCCCCCAAAAACCTAACCACACCATATTTCGAGGTCGCTCTTGCCTTCTGAGATGGCCCACTCTCTGTCTGTGGAACGTGTTTCTCTCTAAATATTACCTATCACTTTGTCTCTCACCGAATTCTTTCTGAGTTGAGACACAAAGAACCTGAGCCTCAGTTAGTCCAGACACCAGCTGAGTGATTCTAATTAAAAGACCATGGGTTTGGGCTTCCCTGGTGACACAGTGGTTGAGAGTCCGCCTGCCAATGCAGGGGACGCGGGTTCGTGCCCCGGTCCGGAAGGATCCCACATGCCGCGGAGCGGCTGGGCCCGTGAGTCATGACCGCTGAGCCTGCGTGTCTGGAGCCTGTGCTCCGCAACGGGAGGGGCCACAAGAGTGAGAGGCCCGCGTACCGCAAAAAAAAAAAAAAATGGGCAGAAGGCCTAAATAGACATTTCTCCAAGGACATACAGATTGAATTGAGTTTTCTTTGAAGCTAGGTGTTTGTCAACTGAATATACTACATCATAACACAGAAGTCAGTGAAAACTAATCTATCTGAGGGTAAGCACTAGATATAAACTTTTCAGAGAAAGAAAAAAATTTCATTTAGTAAATATAATAATGAGAACTCATTGTAAAATAGGAAAATGGAGACAAACATAAATTCAGTTCCTATACTCTGGTCACCAGTGAAACAACAGCAAACTATCTCTTCATTCTTTGAAGTCTGCATCCACAACATGGATTTTTCTCAAAGTTAACCTTTTTTTTTTTTTTTTTTTTTTTCTCTCACTCTCGTGGCCTCTCCCGTTGCGGAGCACAGGCTCCGGGCACGCAGGCTCAGCGGCCATGGCTCACGGGCCCAGCCACTCCGCGGCATGTGGGATCTTCCCGGACCGGGGCACGAACCCGTGTCCCCTGCATTGGCAGGCGGACTCTCAACCACTGCGCCACCAGGGAAGCCCTAACCTTTTTCTTTGAGAAAAATCCTGAAGAAATATGTTTTCTGGATAAAGATGCACTGTTTTTAAATTCCAATATATTTTATCCTGTTTGTGTAAAAATAGCTGACTAGTTTTTATCCAACCCACCTAAAGCTGTGTTCATTAGTACTGATGCTACTGAAACTGTTCAGGCTGATATATCTCCTTCTAAATGAGTAGTTTTAAGAGTGAAAAGTTAGGAGTGTATTGGTAGCTTTAATTCCTATCCCTTCCACTTCTAGGACAAAGATAAAATCGCTGAATCAATCAAATGTAATCAGAAATTGGGAAATGAAATAGACAAATCAGGGACTTCCCTGGCGGTCCAGTGGTTAAGACTTGGCGCTTTCAATGCCGTGGCCTCAGTTCGGGGAACTAAGATGATGTGGCCAAAAAAAAAGGCAAATCAATTATAATTCAGGTTTACTAATTTATTATATCTGTCTGAAATTTTTTAGAAGATGTCATCTTGAGATATGTCAGAAATTAAATAATTCTTCTCTCTGTTCTATCTCAAAGGTAGTACAAATTTTTTGTAAGATCAGTGGGAAGCTGTTACGATTTTTTTTTGAATTTTATTTTATTTATTTTTTTATACAGCAGGTTCTTATTAGTTATCCATTTTATACATATAAGTATATGTATGTCAGTCCCAATCTCCCAATGGAAGCTGTTATGATTGAAAATAAATGTTTGGAACTATAGACCTCAGCAGGGCAAACGTCATACAGTTTTGTTTATCCAAGTCTGAGGGTGAGGGGTGTCCTGTCTCCAGTTAAATAAGTAACTCATGCAGCTGGGATTAAGATTTTTAAAAGCTGATTTTGTGTTTATGTCTGGAGAAAACTTTGATGTTTCAGCAGATTCTAAAGAGCTCTGAGGAGAAAAGTTCTTATTTTCACCAAAGTATGCATAGGCCTGCTGTTTCTGTGTTTGTACTCACTTCAGAAGCAAATTTGATTTAGGAAAATTAAATGTTGGTGTGGATATCTTGCAATTTTCTGGTTTTACTGCATTCATCCCTTGGGGTCTGAATTTCCTCTACTCCATGAGTGTTTAAAGCAGATAACTAAATCCTGTAGTTCTGTATATGTGAAAGGAGGGTCTGGAAAATATACTCCCAGTTATTAACAATTATCTGTTGGAGTGGGATTTAGAAACTGGTGGTTAGGGGGTGACTTTTGCATTTTAATTCACTCTGTATTGTTGACCTTTTAACTTTTAGACTAAAAGAATAAGGAAAAAGAAAACAAGCAAACATAATAGCAATAATGGGATGGATCTCAAGCTGCTTAGGACTTTTAACTCATTCAAAGAGTCAAAATACAACACGCTATTTAGAAAGCAGGAAAATGAAAACATCCCTATCAGAACTTTTGGGACACACATACTCAGAGATAAATGCATATTCTTGAACGCTTTCATTAAAGAGTGAAAAGAAATGAACTAACCCCATGCAGTGGGTAGAACTGTGTGTCTCCAGAATGTTCAAGTTAAGTCCCAGTACCTGTGAATGTGACCTTATTTGGAAATAAGGTCTTTGCAGATGTAATCAAATTTAAATGATTTCGTACTGGGTGGGCCCTAATCCAATGACTGGTATCCCTATAGGAAAAGAGAAATTTAGTCATATATACAGATACACACCCAAGGACTCAGGGCAACTACCAGA